TCAGATCATGTGCTACTCCCGGAAAGACCTGCAGCGCAGCAAGCTCTACGTCAGCTTTGTGGGGGAGGAGGGGTGAGTAGGTGGGAGGGAAGGAATAAGCATGAAACCCACACAGGTGGAATGTAAATAAGTATATCCATCAGAATCAGAACACTTTAAGTTATCATCATAACTTGGATTGTACAGCAATGCAGTAACTATTGGTATCTAAATGTGTGTTTTGCAGGTTGGACTACAGCGGACCTTCCAGAGAGTTCTTCTTCCTGGTTTCCAGGGAGCTGTTCAACCCTTATTATGGTCTGTTTGAGTACTCGGCCAATGACACCTACACTGTGCAGATCAGCCCCATGTCCGCCTTCGTAGACAATCACCACGAATGGTGAGCTTCTACTACCAGGTTTATTCAACACACAATGAAGCGCACAGAGGATCTAATGTGTGTGTGTTTCAGGTTCCGGTTCAGTGGTCGTATTCTGGGCTTGGCTCTGATCCATCAGTACCTGCTGGACGCCTTCTTCACCAGACCCTTCTACAAAGGCCTACTGCGCATGTACGTACAACGTGTGTGTGTGTACATGCACAAATACACATTTAGTAAATGTTTCTATATATTTCTGTTGACGTGTTTAAAATGTTGAATATTGGAGTATTCTTCCACACATTTGCTGCTCCTCCTCGGCCACACACACACACACGTTCCCACACTCACTCCCCTGCCCCCCCCCCCAGCCCCTGTGAGCTGAGTGACCTGGAGTACCTGGACGAGGAGTTCCATCAGTCCCTGCAGTGGATGAAGGACAACGACATCGAGGACATGCTGGACCTCACCTTCACCGTCAATGAGGAGGTCTTCGGACAGGTGTGTGTGTGTGTCTTTGTGTCGTTGTGTGTTTCCTTTTCTTCTTAATGGTGTGCATCGGTGTGAGTGAGCTTTCTTCGTATTTAATTGTGATGTGTCTTGACAAAAGAAGCGATGGGCAATGTGGATTCAGTTTGTTTGATTTCCTGCATGTGTGTGTGTAGATCACAGAGAGGGAGCTGAGGCCCGGGGGAGCAGACATCCCAGTGTCGGAGAAGAACAAAAAGGAATACATCGAGCGGATGGTGAAGTGGAGGATAGAGAGAGGGGTGGTGCAGCAGACCGACAGCCTGGTCAGAGGCTTCTACGAGGTACTTCAGGTTGTCCTTTTATGATTAGCTTATACTGTCTGTACAAATATGAGTTCATATTCTGATCAAAGTGCACCTGTTTAATGAAATCATCTGGTAAGTAAGAAGTATAAACAGGTACAGTAGGAAGTGGGATCCTCAGAGGCTCTTCATGTTGTGTTCCAGGTGGTGGACTCCAGGCTGGTGTCAGTGTTCGATGCCAGGGAGCTGGAGCTGGTGATCGCCGGCACAGCGGAGATCGATTTATCAGACTGGAGGAGCAACACGGAGTACAGAGGAGGTGAGGAAGAAAAACAGACTAGATTCTTTAAATGCTGTTTGATTTACTTTACTGCAACCCGATATCTTTTGCTTTTATTATTATTCCTCTATTGTAAATAGGAAGTCACGGCTATTTCGTGCTTTTCTAGGGATCCGATTACAGGCTTCTTGATGATTTGATATGATGTTTTATGTCTAGGTTACCATGACAACCATATTGTGATCCGGTGGTTCTGGGCAGCGGTGGAGAGGTTCAATAATGAACAGAGACTACGGCTCCTGCAGGTGTGTGTGTGTGTGTGTGTTGTGATATTTCTTTAGCTTTTGAGGTAAAGCACAACAGTTCAAACCCCATCTTCTTCTTCTCTTTCTGTTCCACACCCCCCCCCCCCCCTCCAGTTTGTGACGGGGACGTCCAGTATTCCTTACGAGGGCTTTGCCGCCCTGCGAGGCAGCAACGGGCCCCGCAGGTTCTGTGTGGAGAAGTGGGGGAAGGTCAGCGCACTGCCCAGGTAGGAAGCTCAGCATGGTCTGCTTCTGGACATTTTAACTGATTTCACATCGTTTTTAGCCTCAGGAAGGTAGACTGTTCGGGGGCAAAAAGTGATGCAAGTGGCATAAAAATATCTAGTTATTCTTTAGGTTTCAATAAGTAAAATACCAAGGAATGGAGACATGGTTGTATAGCCTTAGTATGGAACTATTTATTTAGAAAATCCCATACATTAATAAAACACAAATGTTTAAATCAACATTCATTTAATGAGATAAACCAGCGTTCATTTTGAAAGTATTCACTTCTTTTGTTACTATTATAACACAATAGAAGTCATTAGTTGGCTCAAATTGTCACAGTTCCACATTTTTTCTTAATTGTAAATATTATCTTACGGGTATATTTCATTTTATAAAACAATACCTTGGTGTGATATTGGGCTATATAAATACAATTAGATTGAGGTGTGTTCAGAAGGGTAAAGCCACTTCAACATGAGCTTCACAGTGGCTAAAATGTTATATTGATTATACAGACGTTCAATAATAAACTGATCCTTTGAATGATATCGTGCTAACATCCCCCCCCCCTCTGCAGAGCTCACACCTGCTTCAACCGCCTGGACCTGCCCCCCTACCCCTCCTTCTCCATGCTGTACGAGAAGATGCTGACGGCCGTGGAGGAGACCAGCACCTTCGGACTGGAATGAGACCCTGGTGCGACCAAGAACCCCCTCCCCCCTCCCAAGGACTGCTGCTGGGAGAGAAGAAGAAGCTGGATTAAAGCCCCGTTCCTGTCACGACGGGCTATATTTGATAAAGCTGCACTCGAAGGACCTTTTTGTTGCACGTATTTAACTTAGTGACACACCTGTGTGATGTGAGGAATGAAGAATCACTGCCTTTGGGACCAGAACTTTTACTTCCAGGGTTCTACCAATCGGAGCCTGACCTGGGGGGTTTGTTTGTATCACTTTAGGAAGAAGAAGAAGCGAACACTGCCTTCACTGCTAGAGCTGCAGCCTCTGGTGATCTCGGGGGTCCGACCCTGTGGCCCGTTCACTCTGCACTCCCCTTTCTCGTATGGCTTTTGGTAATCTTTGAGCGACTTCCCTGAGATGTTCCACTGCTCCTTTTCCAGTGCAGGAATGGCATTGTTACAGTATTTTCATCGACAAGAAGAAATTGGATTTTCTAATGTTCTGTGATTTGAATGTAACTCACTTTATGAGGTAGTGTTGTTTGTGATGATTTTGTACCAGATTCAAAAAAAGGGTTAACACTTATTTGCAATGTTTTAAATGACCTAGTAGGTAAGCATATCCATTTACTCTGATTTGTTATATAACTGAAAGATATATTAAAATGATCATGGTTTGTTTTTAAAGAGGACCTGTACCAAACAGGATTTTTTATTTAGTCTGTAGAACACTGGGACTTCTCTGCAGCCGGATCAAATCATTTTTTATACATTTCAATTAATTGTGCAGTTGATAATTGCATTATTTTATTTGTAATCTCCCCATGAGTAAAGATCTGCTTCTGCCCCACACAACCAGATCAGACCAGAAGATAGTTATTCTAGTGGGAGGTGTCAAAAACAACTAGGTCATCTGATTTAAACATGGAAATGTTTTCATAGGAAAATACCCTGATATTTAATAAAAGGAGCTATGATCCAGCTTGGGACCTTTGTTCACACTTGAATGTACAAACTAATATTATATCCATTCACATTATGAACATTGTTATATTTTGCCCTCTGTTTGTCTTACCAGAATGTACCAAAGTGTCCAGCCTCACAGCATCTCTTCTGTACAGCCACCTCACTTTAATATGAATGTTTGTCAGCACTATCCTCCTCAAATAAAAGGTCATCACTCTATGCAAGCTTTGGCTCTCCTTCTTTAATGTGTCCATTATTACCCACATAACAAAAAGCTATTTTGATAACCTTTATTTCTAAATGTAATCTGGTTCCTGTTCTTGGCTTGGAGCAAGGCAGTTATTTAATTCCAAAAGCTTTCATTAAACAAGAAGACTGTTCCCCAACCCTGAAGCCAGACCAGAGCAACACACACAATGGCAACCGAGGACTTTTTCACATTGTCCACGTGTACTTGTGTGTATGAGAGGACATGAAATACAGACACCAGATGCTCAGATCAAATAGCTTAGAGAGATACACAACTGCTCAGCAACCCTAAAGTCTTAGGTTCGATCCTCGTGAGGTGCAGTGATTTTTGAAAGCCAACACCCAAAGTGAAGAATTAGATTAGAAAATGAAACGAAGAAGAGCCAGAAGAAATGGCTCAGAGAGATACAACATTGCCCCGAAAGCTAAAGGTTGTTAGTTCGTTCCTTGTGAGGTGCATTGTTTCTTAAAGTCCATCATCCCAAATAAAAAGGCAAAAGCACTTCAAAACCTTCTCATACTGTGTCAGGTCAAATGGCTCAGAGCGCTAGAAGACTGACGGTGAGACAGAAGGTTGCCGGTTCAAGGCTCTTCAGGTCCAGTCATCTTTAAGGTCCACGAACCCAAATGAACAAGACATAAGCTCTACGAAACAATAATGTCTCAGGTCAAATAAGAGGTGCTTGGGCTGTGTATTTTAAGGTCCAAACCTGAGGTGAAAATCTCAGATAGGCCAGGGAACATCTAACTGTGTCAGGTCGGATGGCTCACTGTGATAAGAACCTGTCTTGGAGACCAGAGAACATGAGTTCAAACCTCGGGTGGTCCACTGAGTTTAAAGATCCCAGGAGTTTGAGTCTTGTGCCATGCAGAGTTTTAATGTGTCTTTCCCTTGATGAAGAACTCAAATACAAGTAACAGCAGAAAACTGTCATCAGGTCTCATAGCTCAAGGAGATAGAAGGGTGGTTGGTAGACCAGAGGTTGCAGGTTCGAGCCTTATACGATGCAGAGAGTAGATAGATGAGGATAAGGGGGTAATGAATACGTTAATAGGATAATGTTAATAGGATGCCAATTAAGGGAATATAATAAAGGAGGGTTAGGAAGTAAGAGTAGTCAATAGGACACTATCTTAGGAACTGGAAAGGAGACAAATGTATTTTAAGAAACTATTTTTTATTCACATTTATTCATACATAGCAGTGCAGCCTTTTCCCCAAGTCTGCTAAACGTCCCCAAGTCTGCTAAACGTCCCCAAGTCTGCTAAACGTCCCCAAGTCTTCTAAGTCTAATAAGCGGCCGATAGGTGGCTGCCGGCTCTCACTGCACTCCTGTGCAGGGCCCTGCAGTCACTGCCGATAGTCTGCTAAGTCAGTAGGCCTGCTAAGTCTGCTAAGTCTGCTAAGTCGGGGGGGCTGACGTGGCTGGGGGGGGGCCGCTCGGCACCCCAGCCACCGCCCCAAGTCGGCTAAGTCTGCTAAGTGGCTGTGGGCTCTCACTGCAGCCACATCGATAGTCTGTTAAGTCTGCTATACGTCCCTAAGGCTGAAAACGTCCACAAGTTTTTCAGAAACATAGGCAGCCGGGGTCTTAATTGATGGCGTGGCGGGGGGGGGGGGGGGGTCGTCTCTTCACTCTCTGTGGGAAGAAAAGAAGAAAAAGACACCATGAAGTCAGTATAGCTAACCCTAACCCATGAAAACATCGTATTTGATGTGGAAATAAGGCACGGTTTAGTGCGTAGACACAAGGCGTAGTATAGTATGTCGATAACGATGACAGAAAAGTAATAATATAGCATTTCTAAAAAATTCTAAAAATTAGAAATGACATAGTATAGTATGTCGATTTTTTGGGAGAAATGCAACAAAATAATTAAAAAAATTATGTTATGCCATAATAAGGCACGGTATAGTGTGTGGATACCAGGCGTGGTATTTTATTTAGTTAAAAATGACCGAAAAGTCATAATATAGCATGTTGGAAAAAATGACAAAGAAGTCATAACCCTAACCCTAACCCTAACCAATGTCGGAGAAAACATCGTATTTAACGTGGAAATAAGGCACGGTGTAGTGCGTAGACACAAGGCGTCGTATAGTATGTCGATGACGATGACTGAAAAGTCATAATATAGCATTTCGAAACATTTCAAAACATTTGAAACGACAGTCGATATATGTTGAATGTATGTCGATTTCAAAAAGAAAATGCAAATAAATAATCGAAACAATTATGTGATGCCATAATAACGCACGGTATAGTGTGTGGATACCAGGCGTGGTATTTTATTTAGTTAAAAATGACCGAAAAGTCATAATATAGCATGTTGGAAAAAGAAACATCGTATTTAACGTGGAAATAAGGCACGGTGTAGTGCGTAGACACAAGGCGTAGTATAGTATGTCGATGACGATGACTGAAAAGTCAAAAAAGTCATAACCCTAACCCTAACCAATGTTGGAGAAATGCTAAAAGAAAACATCGTACAGTATGTCGGAAATATCCTAAAAAGTCAGAGTATAGTACCGTAAGTTCTTCAGAAACTCAGGAAGCCACGTCTTCATTGATGTGAGATGAATGTCCTCGCAGTCCTGTGGGGAGAACAGAAGAAAAGACACCATGAAGTCAGTATGTTGAAAATGCAAATACAAATAGCATAGTACACTATGACTATGTTGGAAAATAGTCATAGTGTAGTATTTTGGAAATATCAGAAAAGTCATAGTATAGTACCGTAAGTTCTTCAGAAACTCCAGAAGCCACGTCTTCATTGATGTCAGATGAATGTCCTCGCAGTCCTGTGAGGAGAACAGAAGAAAAGACACCATGAAGTCAGTATGTTGAAAATGCAAATACAAATAGCATAGTACACTATGACTATGTTGGAAAATAGTCATAGTGTAGTATTTTGGAAATATCAGAAAAGTCATAGTATAGTACCGTAAGTTCTTCAGGATCTCCAGAAGCCACCGTCTTCGTTGATGTCAGATGTACTTGCACTCGGTGTTCCGGGAAAAGAAGAAAAAGACACCATGAAGTCAGTTTAGTAGAATGAAAATATCTATAATATATAAAAATGCAACAAGTTGATAATATCATAAAAGTCAAAGTATAGTACCTTAAGTTCTTCAGAAACTCAAGAAGCCACGTCTTCATTGATGTCAGATGAGTGTCCTCGCAGTCCTGTGGGGAGAAAAGAAGAAAAGACACCATGAAGTCAGTATGTTGAAAATATCAGAAAAACCTTCTGGTTTAGTGTGTCCAACATTTAAATACAAATAGCATAGTATAATATGACTATGTTGGAAATAGTCATAGTGTAGTATTTTGGAAATATCAGAAAAGTCATAGTATAGTACAGTGGCGTAGGCAGATATCAAAGAGTGGGTGGGATCAGCCCGTTCAAGACCACACATACTTAATATGTCCTAAAACGCATGTTAACTGAAATAAGCCAGTCAGAATGGACCTCCTTGAGTTCTTGAGATTGGTTGGTTTTGTGGCACATTTGTAACGCAGTGCCAACCTGAGCACGCACAGGGTGGAGAGGTTGAGCGAGGGAGAGAGAGCGCGTGCAGCGGTCTGCTTGCGCACGGAGCGGGAGTTTGTGAGAGGGCTTAGAGTCAATTGTGCTTGCAAAATATGTTTTTCTGTGCTCAAAAATGTTAAATTGCGCGCCGCTCAATAACATTTTCTATGCTCAAAATGTTTCATTGCGTGCTCAGGATAGAGGCACAAAAATAACGACGTAGACAAGAGCCCGAAGGACACGCTTCATTTGAGGGAAAATGTCAGTGGGACATGAGTCGAGCACCTCCACGAGCTGCTGTACAAACACTTCCACACAGATGGGAACGTGTGTGCTGGCAGGCTGAATTCATTCATTGTCACCAAAGGTAGACCGAGGCAACAATGCAGCAGCGGCTCTCATAAACCCGTATGTGTCCGCCTTAACACGAGTGTCCAGTTCCATAATCTGCCTGTCAAGCACATGATTCTAAATGTTGTGTAGGTCCTTTACAGGGGAGGCTTTGCCCAGGGTGGATTCACTTTGCCTATCGCCAAACTCTCCTAGCAACCTCCTCTTTCGCGACCCAGTGACGTCCCAGTTAAGGATGTCGTGTTTTTTTATCAAATCATCTTTCAGTGTCACAAGTTTAATGAAGTCAGCTTCTGTTTTCCTCAATGTAGTTTTCCTTAGGACCCTCGATTAGATCGATGCAATCTGTGACTGTTATAGTGGAACATTGCAGGCCTTTTGTTGCGTAGTCGCTCATTTCAAACAGCCTGTTGAACATGACGAGAATAAACACACATGTATTTGTGATGAGTAAAGAAGCAGCAATTTGCAGTATCTCATTCTGGATATCGGGGCTTGTAAGTTTCCCGTTCCCCGGCAGGTCGTCCAGTCGCCGTTTTATTTCTGGGTCGTAGTGAGAGATCATAAATCGCGTCACTGCACCACTCTATATCTGAATTTGTAAAGAAGTAAGATGAAAAAGTATTGAAAGTCTGACAATTTACAATACGCTACATTCACTGGCTGCTGTGACAGATTTTACAGATCATTTTCCAGCCTTTTGGTATAGTACCGTAAGTCCTTCAGAAACTCAAGAAGCCACGTCTTCATTGATGTCAGGTGAATGTCCTCGCAGTCCTGTGGGGAGAAAAGAAGACACCATGAAGTCAGTTTAGTAGGTACTGACTATAGAACGAAAATATCAGAAAAGACGACATAGTATATGAAACAAGTTGTATAGTAGGTCAAAATGAACATACAAAAAGTAGATTAATAGTATTTTCAATGTGGAAATATCTCAAAAATAACATCATATTATTTAATGCAAAGATATATTGTATCGTACGTATCGTGGTAAAAAGCCATACAAATGTCATAGTCAAGTATGTCATAAATAAATAAATTCATAGTTACTCATAGAAATCCCACATATTGTTCACTACAATGTGATTTAGTGATAGTTATATGTATAAAATAACGGAGACAAACCTGAACTCCTCCATAGTTCCCTCTGTAAACACCAGTCCATCTGCAGACCTCCGAACGCTGAAACACAAGATAAAGAAAGTCCTCAGGATTTAAAGTTGCAATCATTTCCATTTGAAAAACAAACATTATGACATGGTTATAAGAAAGGTTTCGTAAAAACGTTATTAAAGGACTGATAAAGGAAACATTTTGTACACTATTAATACATATATATTATATATATATAGATACATATTAATAATATATATGGAGGTGATTAATATAGAATGCCATTGTGAAGAAAAGTGTAATTGTCATTAAAAAGTCATAAACAAATATTCAATATATCAGAATACATGCCAAAGTATGTCATTTAAAAAAGTACAGAGTCAAAGAGAGATGCTGTTTTTACTCTACTGCATTTATTTGACAGCTTTTAGTTACTAGTTACATTTTAGGTTTAGATTATTAGCTAATATAAAATATAACTCATTAATTTAGTAAACTTTACATATATGTATAGATGAAGATATCCAGCAGCAGTTTATCAAGTTATTCAAATGTATCTCATTAAATGTTACTCAGATTATAGACAGTCCTACTCGCCCTGACATGAAGTCCCCTAATAAATCCTCCCTAATTGATCTCATCTTAACTAATGTTCCCCATAAATACCCATCTGTGGGAGTATTAGCTAACGATGTGAGTGACCACCGTGCTGTAGCCACAATTAGGGACACAAAAGTCCTAAAGGGTAAACTTCGCATTATCAGTAAGAGAGACAACAAATATTTTGTGGAGCAGGGTTTTGTGCATGATCTGTTTGGGTTTGATTGGGGTCAAATGGATCTGTGTGCTGATGTAGAAACTGCATGGTCTTATTTTTATCTTGGTTTTATGGAAATGATTGATAGACATGCACCCCTGCGTACATTTAGAGTGAAGGGACGAGACAATCCTTGGTTTTCTGCTGAACTGTCCAGTCTCCTACATGAGAGAAACGAGGCCTGGGCAAAGGCTAGGCAATCAGGCTCAGAGGTAGAATGGCTGCGTTTTAGGCAGCTAAGAAATAGCTTCACGTCACAAATCAAAAGTGCTAAGTCTAAGTATTATCTGTCAGTAACCACAAAGAACCTGAATAATCCTGGAACATTTTGGAAAGCCATAAAATGGATATCCAGCGGTGAGATCCGTAATGAGCTACCTCCGTGCCTTACCACAGCATCTCTATATCGGACAGGGCCACTATGTTCAATTGTTTTAATGAGCATTTTGTGTCCAGTGGCTTTCTGTTTGATTCTGTCACTAACTCTGCTTCTGTGAACACCAGTCTGTGACTCTGAACAATGTGGTTTGGAAAACGGATAGATGCTATGCAATCTGATACTGTTGGTACCTGTAAATGTCGTTAGCTATGTAAATTGTAACTGCTGTATGATGTCCTTTTGTTTTTCTGTTGTTTTCTGTTTTTATGTCTTCATGTGTAACCGAATGGCTGCAGGTCTCCCTTGAAAAAGAGATCGATGATCTCAATGGGATTCACCTGGTTAAATAAAGGTTGGAAATGAAAAAATGAGCTCCCCCTTGACCAGTTGTGATTAAAACACATCAATATGTATATATATATATATATATACATACATGCTTATTGATGTGTTTTAATCACAACTGGTTTCTGACACAACGATTCTGAAATGGGCCATTATGCATAAGCATGTGTATATATATATATATATATATATATATATATACACATGCTTATGCATAATGGCCCATTTCAGAATCGTATATATATGGTCCATTATGCATAAGGTGTACTTTTACTTTGGGTACTTTAAGTATATTTTGATGCAGGAGATAACAGTCATTTTAATATGTAGTATTGCTACTTATAGCATGTGCAGTTAGTGACCACCAGGTGGAGCTATACACACACACACACACATCATAGCTACAAGATAGGCGCATTATGAATTAAAACTGCACCCTAACACCACTGCAGACAGAGTATATCTCTGCTGCTAAACATACAACACAAATGGATTAAATACCTCGACAAACCATGTTTAAGCTAGAGAAAATGTATTAAGAGATTCATGTATGAAGTGATGTGTGTACATTATCAGAGCCTGTTAACCGGAAGTGCTCACCCACTGACAACTACAGGAGCGAACATATCACAGTCCATTAAAAAAAAGTATGAAATGTCATGGTACTTCTCAAAGTATTTTATTATTTCGAAGTGACCATGACTCGGGTGAATTTGACAATGAGCGGTTTGTTTATTCGGCCGGACTAAAGCAGCTGTACCGGCGTTAGCATAGCTGTAAGCTAACACAGCGGTACCGTGTTTGTTTGTTTGTTTGCTTATTTGTTCGCTTATGTGTTAGTTTGTTTATTTGTTAAGTTTGTGTGGACGTTTGGCCATTGACTGACCTTTTAAATCACAGGAAACTCTAGTTATCGCTGTTTATTCCCTCCAGTAACTCTTCCGTGTGCATCTCGTGAGCTGGCGAAGTTGTTGTGAGCTGTTGCCATTGCGTCATCCGTATCAGTCAGCTGACCTTGGCTATGTAGCGTCTCTGGCCAGCAGGGGGCGGGGCGTCTACGGGTCATACCATCCTGTGGGGGGGGGCCATGGCAGAATAAACCATCTTCATGTTTAGTTTGCTAAAGTTGGGCTATCCATGGCAAATAATTGTTGTCATAGTCATTGGAAATGGTCTTATTATTTGGAAAAAACTCCCCCAGATGATAAAAACCTCTGCCTCAATAGAGATTTTTAAAGGGCAGTTAAAGACCCATCTTTTCCGACAAGCCTTTGGGTCGTCGGGGGAGGTGAGTTTGTGGCTGTCTTTTATTGGTGTTTTATCGTATGTTTTATCCCATGTATTATCCTATGTATTACCTGCTGCTGTTTTATGCCTTTTATTCTACATTTTATAGTTGTACTTTGAATTGTGTCCTGTGTACTGTACTGTAAAGCACTTTGTGCATCCGTGTTGAGAAGGGTGCTATATAAATAAATGTGTACTTACTTATTCTCACCTAGTTTACTTTATATTTATTGTAAACATTTATTTATAGGCTATATATGAATGCTGATTTTTAAAATAGCTAACAGTTTATCTCACATTTTTGACATACTATGCCGTTTTTTTTCTTATATTTTTTCCATGGACAAAACATGTTTAAGCAACAGAAAATGTTTTAAAATAATGAATGTATGAAATGTGTACATTATCAGAGCCTGTAGCCCGGAAGTATAGTAATCTATATATAGATAGTAGTAATCTTTGACATGTAAAAATATAGAAACATTTCTACATACTATATTGTTTTTTCCCCATATTTTCAACAAACTATACTACGTCGTTTTCTTTTAATATTTTCCACACATTTTTTTTTGCATCACCATGAATGATGGTCTTGAATCACAACTTTAAAACATTTGATGTTGCAACATTCATTTTATTTGATAAAACAGAAAATACGTCATCAAGAAAAACGAATTACAAGTCATTAAATACATTTTAAAACATATTAATGAAACAAATGTAACAACATTAAAAACACATTCACAATACATGCCAGACATATATAGATATTCAGATACAATAAAATGTGTATGGACAGAAACAGTTTGTTTTGATGTGTCTGTAAAGAGAAGGTGAAGCAGATCGAACAGCAGTGCTCCCCCCTCTCACAGCTGATGGCTCCATCACTCCTCCATCAGCTCCTCCAGGTGTAGCTGTAGTTGATCATGCTGATGTGGCTCAGAGCAGTCTTTCCCAGGGTGGAGGGCTGCGTCAGCTGCTGGATGGAGGCAGGGTGGAGGCCACAGGCAGACAGGTCCGAGGAGCCGGCAGAGCTCTGCAGACAGGAGGAGGGAGAGCATGTGCAGTGAGTGACCACCAGGTGGAGCTATACACACACATCATAGTCACAGGAGCATTTCTGTGGAGCAAATTCTAAAAGTACACTATACTTTTTCATATTTTAAAAAGGACTTTTCTCTCCATATTTTCCAACACACTATGATTTAAAAAAGTGTTTTGTGGGTAACCCCATTATAAACCCTCATCAGTATCTCCAACTCATGTGAGCATCCATCGCTTTTATTTCATCAAAAAGTAGAAGAAAATCAGATCTGGCAAAATGTGAGCCTTCCATTTAAGGCAGTCTTACCTGCTGCTCCGTGGTGTGTGTGTTCATGACAGCGGTAGGAGTGTGTGTGTAGAGAGCAGAGGAGAAGTTTCCCTTCTGTGCCGGCCGGAGGAGGTTGGTGATTGTGTGGAGAGACGAGGGGAGGATAGGTCCTGAAGAAAAATGACATTAAAAAAAAAGTCAATTTCTTCCACAACTAAATAAAATTGCTACCATGTCTAACAAAATGATAGAGATATGAAATAGGACAAAGTACCTGTGATCTCCAGACTGCTGATGTCCTGGTAGGAACCCCCAATCTGGCTTTTTACATTCACACTGCGGGCCTGAAATACACACACACATCCAGTCATATGCACTGCAGACATAGCAATATGTGTGTGTGTGTGTGTTTCTCCATACCTTCAGTGTGTGCATGGTGGCTCCTCTGAAAGCGTTCGGGGCTAGAAGCGTGGGGGGTAACCCGGCCTGGGGGCCCGCCACAGCCACCAGACTCTTGCAGTTGATGAGGAAGTTGATGAGGGTGAAGGTGTGTGTTCCCTCCACACACACCACCGACTCGGGCTTGTGGTCCAGAGACACGGTCTGACCCTCCTTTTGCCTGCACTGGGGTCAAGGAGCTTTAACTGCAGCTATCACACATTTAATTAGACACGGTACAACAGAGTGGTGCAGGAATGAGTCCTAAATAGAAATGAGTCTGCATCTTAGAGGCAGAAGGAGGGGGAGGATACAGTTGGATGGTGTTGCTGTCGGGCTTCTTGATTTTGTCCTGGACCCCAATCTCCTTCAGCCAGGAGAAGCTGCCGTCTTCATCGTCGTTGTCTTCGTCCTTCTCTCCGTGGCGCTCCTCAGCCTCTTTCAGCTCAGAACACCTGCAGATCAATACAACATGTTTTGTTTGCATAAAAAAAAAGGACATATAAACAAATGACAACAACACTCTGGTTGCAGTGATGCACAGCGGACTCTTACGCCTGCTCTTGCTCCTCCTCCTCGCCCGGGTGCTTCTGCTGCTCCCTGCTCTTTCTCCTGTCCTCCACCAGGGGGAGACTGAACTCTATACCTGCACAGGGACACAACAGAGAGGAGTCCAATGAAAAACCAGAATATGCAGTCAGAATAAAGGTTTTTAAAAAGTGTAATGGTAAGACTCACCTTCAGCCTTCATGGACTCTCTGAGACCCCGGGTTGTGGGAGAGATGAGGGCCGTGATGCTGCTGCCGGACCCCCCCACTCCTGCTGCCCTGAACAATACTGAGAACTGAGAGTAGGTAGAGGGAAATAATCAGTTGGTAAGTCAACTAATTACTGTACTAAAGTACAATCTGGAGGTACTTGTACTGCACTTGGGGATTTAGTTTGATACCAGCTTATACACAAAGTTGCAGTGAAAATGTCTATTTGGATGGTAGTGTGAAAAGCACCACCAAGCATGTTCTCCCTCCTTTAGAACGGGATTCAAGTGACAGCGTGTACCTGATATGAGCAGAGGTAGAAGTACGGACACAGCTTGGTCTTCAGCAGACTGTAGAGGGACGACAGACTCACGGACCTGAGAGAAAACCAGAGTTCCAAAGTCACAAAAAGGTCACAAAACTGTTCCTGTACACTACTGTATCTCAAGCCTCACCATTCGCTCATGAGACTCTGCTGCAGGGCGCGGTCCTGGGCCCACGGGGTGCACTTCCCGGTGAAGCTCCTCTCAGCGTTGATGCGGGGGAACAGGGAGAGCCAGGGCAGGGAGGGGTGCTGCCAGTACACCAGGCTCTGCTGGAACGCACAGCGCAGCTCCGAGCACGAGCGGGGGTCCTGCAGATGCAATGACATCGTTTACAAACCCCTGAAGACATGTCCGCTACTGTTGCTGTCCTTCTCTCTCTACAGGTTCATTCTGGAGAGGATCGCTTTGATAAGTTCAGAAAACCTATTGGAATGTTTTGTTTTTTGAGAAACTACATTTCTCCAAAACAGCAACAGTAAAGTATTTCATATGTTACATGATCCTAGTTAGGGCTGTACAATTAATTACTAATAATACAAAATATAGATTAGTGCAATCATCATGTCTACAGATGTAAGAGATCCAGTGAGTCTACCTGCAGGCTGTGTGGCAGCGTGATGAAGTGAGCTCTGAGGTGCTGACTCAGCCCTGTGGCCTCCTCCTGAGCTTTGGGGTTCTCGGCCCAGGACAGGGTGAGGGGGGAGGTGAAGAGGAGGCGCGTCTTCAGGCTCCAGTCTGAGGGAAACACTGTGCACACGGGGGGGGGCGATGGAGGCAGGAGCAATGGCCTGGGGACTCTGAGGAGAGACATTGAAGAGGTTTTTAAACACATGTGGCTCCGTTAGAACATACCAGATGTTTTGTATAGATATGATTAGTCAGAGTGCAAGAGAAGAATCCAACCTTTATTAGCGGGCTCACGACATCTTCCTCCTCTTCTTCGAACAAGGAGTCATCTTCAGAGAAAGATAGACATTTCTACAGCAGAGGACAGAAGGGTAAACATATCAAAATGTCAGCATGTCAACCCAAAAACAAATGTACTGTATTCCTCTCATCTTTAACAAATGATTCATACATACAAATAGGAGTCAGATGAACATTAACTATGTTACTAACTGTCTATGTCTTTTTAATGATGTTTCTCAATGGTTGTAGTACTCATGGTCATTGTTTTGTTTAGCGTAACTTGCTCTGTAAAGCACTTATAACGTTTTTTTTTGTTCATGTTAAATCTGCAGCCTTCCACTCAACAATATATTATACTGCTGTTTTTCATAATATTGTTTTTTTCTTTATATAATCGTTAAATGTTTCTTTTTATAATTGTTATATTTTTGATCTTCTCTTACAACTTATTTCCTTATGCTATGTTTATGTTTGCACCAAACTCCAAAGCAAATTCCTTGTATGTGTAATTAACCTTAATTCTGGTTCTGATTCTTATTATCACGAGGTTAAGTAAGCTAATAATGTGTTCTGAAAGGCTAATATACTGCACCTTGTTTTTCATAACAGCTGTTGTGTTTGCAAGTTAAAATACGAGTAGTAATAGTAGGTGCATAACTGACCTTGCTGTTAACATCTTGGTGTTCGTGTTTCTCTGCCTCAGTCAGCCTCGCACTGAGAGGTAACGCTGCATTACAGTTCGTCTTTGTTGACATCTCCTCCTCTCCCTCCTTTTCTGTCAATTTCTTTCTCTTGCACCGGTCCACAGCTTCTGCATGTCCGTCCTCGTTGTAAATTAGACATTTCTTGCTTGGACTGTACGTATTCTCAATGTTTGCGAACGGGTTTCTGCGCTTTATTCCACCTCCGGGACGACTCTGGGTATTAAAAAGCGGCCCCGGGGAGAAAGGCCGAACTCCTGCCGGCGAAGAGTCGCTTTGCCCGGCAGTGGAGCCCTGTCCGCTCGGGCTGGAGAACACACTGGCGTCGCTTCTGGTTCTTTTCCTCCTCATTCGCATAATTTCAGCCGGTCGCTTGAAGCTCGGCGAATAGCCATCCGGTTGAGACATACTGCAGAGGAATAATTTCTCTAAAATACCAGAAAATAACCGACAAAATGCTAAAAACACTGCAGCTGTTGACACTAACTTTGTGTTGTTGCGCCTTCCGCACTATACAAATTTGGCGCGTAGTGTGCTGACGTCAAGCGTCAAGCGTCACGTTGCGTTTGGTTTTAGAGAGAAAAAAATGGAATTTGGGGTACTGATCTAAGAAGGAAAATCTACCACTTTAAAGTTTAGGAATCAAACTCGATTAGAGTTTTTCAATAAATGGCATCTTTAATACACCTATAACAATGATCCCATGTTGAAGTTGCTGTACCATGATAACACAGAATAATGAGCTGAAAGTATGCCAGCATAAATACTATATAAGCCACAACTTCCTTAAACAACACTAATATGTATCTTCATATTGAAGTGTATGCCCTTTTGGTCTTAAGTGTACGGTTTGTAGGTAATTTAACTTGTGGAGCAGCTGCAACAGTAAAGCCTTGTGATTCAGTGTGCGTCATCATGACAAAATGTGCATTGATGACCACAGAGGACAGTGAATTTCCCTGCTAGAGCTGCCCCCACTGCCCAACACCTCTCATTGCAATCTCCACCTCTGTCCCTCTGTCACAGTGATTAATAGCACATTATGTAAATGTTTTCTCCCTGTTAATTTCTCCCTCGTTTGTCATTACTCTGGGTCATCAATCACATCTGAACCTCAGCAAGGCTAAATGATGGCTGCTGTTAGGAAATCAATTCTCATATATTTTGGTAGTGAAGAAGAGAGAAAAGTAGTGCTATTTACATCAAAAGTCAGGTTTGAATTGATGGCTAGTGACCTTAACAGGGCTGCTGAAATCATGGCATGTCCTCGACCCCCAAATGAAGATGCATTAGGCCCAGTGAACTCATCTATAAGAAAACATTCTTATTGTAGTCAACAAATTAACCTCTTTATACCCAATTGGGAGATAATGTGCCATTAAACCACTAGAAGTCACTGTTTACCAAAGCTAAACAAGTATCCAAGTAGCAAAATATTCCATATTTGAAAATTGTTTAACTGCCCTAAGTATATTGTGCTTTTCTTGTTTGTTATTAATCTTAACATTTTGTGTCAAATGTGTGTTTTGTATCCAGTTGAAGTAATGCTAAGTGTATATAGCTTTTCATACTGTGGACTCACTGTCTGGCTACACTTGACCTTTATTTAGCAATTTCTCCTGTGTGTGTGTGTGTGTGTGTGTGTATGTGTATGTGTGTGTGTGTGTGTGTGTGTGTATGTGTGTGTGTGTGTGTGTGTGTGTGTGTGTGTATAAACTGGCAGAGAAGGCAAGCTAGGGCTTGTCTGTTGGCCTGTAAATTCCTACAGCTTTAGGAATAGCAATGGATAGATGTGTTTGTGTGTGTGGGTTACATAGGGTAAGGATCAGACAACCAGCAAACACAGAAAAAAAAGTTGGATTATTTCCCAAGAACTTTTATATAAAACACAAATCAAAAATGTACTATCAACATGTCAGAACAAAAAGAGAAGGGGTGATGAAAACAGGATCAAATGCCGGTGTCATTTTCAGCCTTGGTTATATACAGTACAAATCGACAGTGGATCACTCACACACGCACGCACACATACACACAACATGCTACCAAAATGGAATAAATTAATGCATTTTACAGAACTCCATGCTGTAATGTTCTCTCAAAATATGTAGAAATCAGTGTGGTAAGGCCTGTCCATGATAAATATGTAATCAGTCAATTAAGATTTGTTGCAGTTTTTATATTTTCTGTCCAAATTTGTCTCAAGGGCCGTAATAGCACCAACAGTCTTCTTATTTTATTGATGACAATAATGGGCAGTTTTTTGAAAAATGTCAGAAGAATGAGAGAGGAGATACAATCATGGGAATAAACAATGACAAACATAAACATAAACAGGCAATCGAATTATTTGGCATGAGCAAATCATCTCTAATGAACACCATTTATGAGAAAGTCGCTTTTTTTTTTTACAAAGGAAGCTGCATTCATCTGTCCATATTCACTCGTTTTTCTCCAAGCCTTTTCAATGTTATTTCACTGCTGTTTAAACTGGGTGCTCCTGGGTAAGTCATGACGAACCATGCTCTGTGAAGTCTTTCCAAATATTTAATGGCATGAAAAAATCCAGTGCTTGAATATAAATAAAATAGTCAGCAGGTTTTAAAATTGTAGTTTACCCAAGGAAAGGTGACCCTCAACATTGTACCCTGTGTGGCAACATTTCCTCTAACCTGACTGTGATGAAACTCCACTCACAGTAGAGGTGTGTGAAATCAGTAAGGTCTAGGATGAAATCTGGGAACAACATAGATGGCAGAGAGCCACAGAAGGATGGTAAAGTCAGAAAGCATCCAGAGAGAGACACACACATGGTGGGTTTGGCGCTCTTCATGCGTAAAAAATATAAAATACCATCAGACTTCCTCATCCTTTAACCGAGATAAGAGTTATCTGTTTTTTGACACGCTTTTACATTGACTTGTGCCTCGTGTCACATCATATTTTGTGTTGGTGTGTATATTCAGTGAAGTCACATGACCAGGGAGCACCTTGAGCCTGCTTCAGTACGGTCTCCAGACGGACTCTGCAGCGGCCATGTTTGTGGGGGAGCTACTGTGGCTGGACTCCACCTCCACCCCCACTCCTTCATTCTGATTGGGCAAAGAGGGGTGCAGGAGGGAGGAGCCTGTGGAGGCGTTGGTGCACGGCGGCAGGATCCTGGGCGGGGAGCGAGAGTCGGTGCCTCCCCCACCGCCGGCCATCATTGAGAACTGGTATGATCCGGCGGTGGTGGAATAGTACAGGTGATACGGTGAGGAGGTGGACTGGAAGGGCCCGTTCTGACCCTGGTGGGGGGTATTCGCCGGGTAGGGGGGAGGCAGGTAGGTGTGGTACCTCCCCGCTGGAGTGTTCGCCATGGCCGTTGCCATGGATAGGCCGAGGGTGCCATTGGATACGGCGTTGTGAGAGGGGGCATAGGTGAAGGCGGTGGCTGTAGAGGGGTAGTGGACCCGGGGATCCGAGAAGCGGGAGTCAGGTAAGGAGGGGAGGGAGGTGAAAGGTCGTTCCAAGGTCATCCTGTGGTCGCCAAAGGCTGTGAGGTCAGGACCTGAGAGGGCAAAGGTGAAAGGTTACTTATACAGTCTATTCTCTCTGTTTTCCCAAAGTCAAGTATGCATCCTGGGAAAGAAGTGGCCTTCCAATTACATAGGCTAGGTTACAAGTGTTCAGAGGACGCACAATAGAATTGTACCAGATAGAGTCCCAGGGTGAAGGAGAAATAGATTTGAGTATGTTTTTAACTGCTATTTAGAATATTAATTTTGCCTTCCTCTAAACAATATGAACAGACTGATCAGTGTATATGCTCGTGTGTCTTACCTGTGAGACGCGAGGACAGGTCACTGAGCGTAGATCGACCAGGCGAAAGGGGATTGGCTGTGTGGACAGTGGGCGTGGTTATCTGGCCAAGGTAGGGATACGATTGGTCGTAGGACCAAGATGGAGACGACTGCATCTGCCTGGAGTCTGGGAGAGAGAGATAAAATCATGGAGAAACTTAGAGATGTAAAGCAAATGATTTAAATGTGGTTGCACAATGCTGCTGTTCACACAAGACAAGTAAGAATACAGTTAAATAGCATCATCTTTGAAGAAAGGGTGATTTTAAATGACTTGAGACAGAGGCTGATGATAGTGAAAGAAACAGAGGAGAGAGACGGAGAAGAGGAAGCAGTTAACTCAGTCTGGGGGTCGACGGATGAAAGGAAGGGCTGTGTGTGTGTGTGTGTGTGTGTGTGTGTGTGAGATATTTCATTCAATCCCCTCTTTTTCCACACAGTCTAATAAATAGCACTGATCACCCACAGACTTGCAGACAAGAGTGTGTACATGTGTGTGTTTGTGCGTGTATGTGCAGTCAGACGAGGAAGCAAATTGTACACAGCAGCCACGACGTCAATGAAGGCTTTTCAAGTCTAGCCAAGAGTGAGTGTGTGTGTGTGTGTGTGTGTGTGTGTGTGTGTGTGTGTGTGTGTGTGTGTGTGTGTGTGTGTGTGTGTGTGTGGTCTGTGTGGTGATGAAGGCCGGCCCTGTGCCAAGCCCCCTCCTCTCCAGGCTTCTCTCCCGGGGCACAGAGCACTAATATGAGGCAGGAGTCACCCCGGCTGGCTGCTAAGAAGTAGAAGTAGAACACAAAGAACTACATACTGTATCTGTGGCGTTTAACGGTAGGCTAATTAATGTCAGAAATTATGACACTTACCCATTTTGCCATGTGCTTTTGCATATTCTAATATGATGAGCAGATATGATAATTCCTATGATGGATAATAATATTCCACCAAAAAGTGGATGTCTGTAGCTTGTGCTGTTGTGTGCCAATTGGGCAAAACATAGGAAACGAGAACGGTGAGCTCTTGACCTGCCCACGTGTGTGTTGATTGATTGACAGCTGACACAGGCAATGGTGGTCTCTTGCTTTTCTACACTGCCATTGGATAAAAGGCAAGTTTAGAATGGCAGCTGTCAATCAAATGCTGGACATTGGCATAATGTACGCGGCGTGGGACACCTGTTCACCCCGAGAGAGATTGTTTTGGACATTTTAATATGAAACAAAGGCTATCATGTTTTATTTAAGTTTGGTTAAAAGGTGAAGTTCAGAAGATGAGTATAAATAAAGAAAAAGCAGTGTGTTGTTTTTGGTCTATCTTGCATTTATGAATTACTATAATTATTTGTTTATGGTCGTCTAAGGCCTGACTTTTGATATTTCGGACGGTAAAATGAATCATAGCCAATGGTTGACACACTTTTCAGATATCTTGGATGCTTCAAATTCTGACAGTTATACATTTGATTTTTTTTCTCACAGTCGCACTTCCTGCCAGCTGACTCTCATTTCCTCCTTCAGGCATGACTTTCTTCCTCACCCACACACATACACACACGTGGCGTCACTACCACTAAGGCAAAAGAGGAACAGATAATGCATTTTGGTGGTAGTGTATCCACGGCAACCGCAACACACACTCACACATACACACACCTACACGCGCACACAGACCACAATGGATCTCGCTAAAACCACAAGGAGGAACAATGAGGTTTGATGCAACCTGAATTCACAAGTTTGGGAAATACACACACACACTTTTTGACGTTGATTAAATGCTGGAAACGAGTCCGTTTGAATCCGCTCTAAAATGTAATTAGATTTAAAGATGATAAGTTAGGTTTATGCTAATAATATTGCTGCTTAACTGAGCATTGATTAGTGTGGATGCATGGAGGCAGCTACCGGCCATTAAATAAACTGCAGTTTAAGGCAAATCCCTGGCTTTCCGGTTATCAGAAAGTAGGGTTAGGGTTGGGGGCAACCTAAGAAGGTCATACATTCTGACTATTCTGAGAGTCATTATTATGATGCTTATATCATGCAACTAGATCATTTCCAAAGAAGTCTCTTGCACAGCTGTGAAAGTGTTGCTTCCAGAAAAAGATGAACTAAGTGATGGCTCATCACACAGGGTTTCTGAGGAATCATAAATAAATAACTTACTTCTCTCTGCATCTATTTATGTTAAAGTTTGTTTGGGGAACATTTCTTTCGGAGCTGCTATCTATCAAAACAGTGACCATTCAAGTTTCTACAAAACTAAGCAACAGTAAATTAGTTTCCATGAAAATAAATCTCTGATCTATCTGTGAATGTCTTTTAAAAGAAGATGTATTATAGTCTAAATTCTAGCCTGATGAACCAGTCATACTTTATATCCGGGGTCTAAGACTACAACGTATTTAGATGTGTTAGTTTAGCAACTCTAGCTTAGCTCAGTTTGTATTGACAAGAAAAGTTGTTTGGTTGTTGTGTTTTTTAGTTACTTTGCCTGAAGTCAATTCATCCCTGAAAGCCTAATTCTTGCTGTGTACAATATGGTAAATGACAATTCCCTTAATTTCTTGATTTGGGCTCATGGATGTAATCCCTTTAGATCTCTTACCAGCAGTAATCTGAGCGTGTGCAGGGCTAGAGAAGGCGGCAGAGTTGAGTGCTGCAGACTGGCGGCTGTTGGCGGGGTGTTGATGGTGATGGTGGTGAGGAGGCGTCAACCTCATGGAGCTCCGTCTCAGCTGCTCCAGCTCCGTGAGCCTCTCGGAGAAAGCCAGCGTTCCGGGTTTAACTTCATCCATCTTCTGACGATGACCTGGGAGGAAGAGATGACACAAATCTGTCAAGATAACCGGTGGTCAAATTAAAATATGAAGATCCAAAGCACCAACTTTTTCCACAATTGAAAGTGTATGGCAGTGTCTTGAGAACTAAGTAAAAGTAGAAAGTGTTGGCCAGTACTTGGAGAGGTGCCAGTTCACCTTCTAGGCACTGCCCTTGAGCTATAATACCTGCCCACAATAATAGGGTGGCTTCAATGCAGAGGCTCAATTTCACTGTGTGCGTGGTGCTGTGTGACGATTGAACATGGATTTGTTTTCAGTCCTCATTTTCCGTTCCATCAAAATATGAAGAGGTGATTTGTCAGCAGATGACTTCCTGCGTGTGTTATGATTACATAATATAAGGATTACAGTAACAGCTACAACCCAATATCCCAACATTGTTAACACACTGTCTGCTAATGCGTTCGGAAATCTGACGATGGGCGCCGCATAGGGGTCTGACTGTCTCCCTGTGTGTGTGTGTGTGTGTGTGTGTGTGTGTGTGTGTGTGTGTGTGTGTGTGTGTGTGTGTGGTGGTCTGTCACGCTGTCTGTGGTGTTGGCTGCACTTCAAAGCAGTGAGACTGAGATCCAGTTACAGGCACTTCCTCCCAATGGGGGAAGTGTGCATGTGTGTGTATTTATACTGAGTGTGTGTGTGTGGCGAGTTAGAGACGAGTGATGGTTATTCACAGCTGAGCGGAGCTGGCAGGAGTCTTCCTCTCTTTCTGTCACCTCATGTCTTATCTGAACACCGTCGCTCAATTCACTCCTAATCAAAGCAAACTATAAGTATTTGTGTTTATTATTAAAAAAAATAGGTTTTTCTTCTTCTCTGCCTTGAGAATTCCCCATGTGTCATCACACAGGAACTCAGTGTTGCATCATCCTTATTGACTCACAAACCGAGAGTCTGTCTCTATGGATTACAGTCTTCTCTGAGTATCTAGCTTATAGACTACAGGATATGCATGAAACAAAATGTAAAACGTTCTGGGGACCCAAATGTGAAGCCTGTGGGACTCCACATGTTATAATCTGCTGTGGAGAACATTGTGATGTGTCACTCACGTCTTGGCTCTCGGGGGCCGTCCACTGTAATCTTAATGGCTCTCTGGTACGTGGCCACCTGAGGAGGGTTGGTGAACACGGTGATGGTCAGAGTGAAACTCTTCCCTATGAGAGAAAAAGGAGAGGCAAAGGGGAAGAAGACAAGAGAGAGTATAGATGAGAGGAAGAAAGAGGAAGAAAAACAGGGAAGGAAAGAAGTGTTTATTAGTACTAGTATATTTGTCCTCCTAATTTTCTCTCCTGTACACATTTATAGGACTATACATTTAGTGTGTGTATGTGCGGACCCTGATGGGGGGGGGTCATTGCCAGACACAGCTTTGGAAGACAACACTTTTGCTTGCCACACACACACACACACACACACACACACACACACACACACACACACACACACACACACACACACACACACACACACACACACACACACACACACACACACACACACACACACACACACACACACACACACACACACACACACACACACACACACACACACACACACACACACACACACACACACACACACACACACACACACACACACACACACACACACACACACACACACACACACACACACACACACACACACACACACAATACTTTTGTTGGTAACGCCAGGTGTTACTCTCACTTCTCTCTCTCCCTACGCAACAAAAGTTAAGGAATATGAATATAACATAACATTAAGGTTGTTATAATTAAAACATCTGTTTTCTTTACTTTGTTGCATAACAGCCATTTTTTTTACATTTTCGATAAGGACCATTGTGTCGTAAATGCAAAATAATGCAGCTGTGCCAACTTTTCACACTTGTAAAGTCCCTTCACAAATATTATGAACAATTTCACAGTGTTATAGTGACTGATAGACGTTTAAACTCATAGATCAAATACTCAAACTCATTAGTATATGTAGCAAGACGCCCAAACCAATGCTGCCCTTTTTGTTGTCTGACTGAATGCTCAGATGGTTTCCTGTCCTTAGTGCAGGTTGCTTACAGAGAGAGTTTACAGTAAGAGAAGGTGGCTGATAGAGAGACACAGGAGGAGGGAGAGAACAGCTGAAGTCTGTGTGTGTTATGTCTATCAGCCAGCCGGTGGCCACACACACACACACACACACACACACACACACACACACACACACACACACACACACACACACACACACACACACACACACACACACACACACACACACACACACACACACACACACACACACACACACACACACACACACACACACACCCACACACACACACACACACACACACACACACACACACACACACACACACACACACACACACACACACACACACACACACACACACACACACACACAAAGGCGTGTGTATCTTGACATCAGTGTTTTTCAGGCCTCTATAATCACCTCTACTGTATGTCTCTGTCATCCATTGAAGATAAGAGCGAATTTCACAAGAAGTGTGTGTGTGTGTGTGTGTGTATACCGCATCGTGTCAGGGCTTGCTGAGTTGGGGTTGTCCAGTTTTACTCATAATCATTCGATCAGACGAAATCTCTTGTTTACCATCTTCAACAAAGCAACATCTGTGTGTGTGTGTGTGTGTGTGTGTGTGTGTGTGTGTGTGTGTGTGTGTGTGTGTGTGTGTGTGTATATCACATCGTGTCAGGGCTTTCTGAGTTGGGGTTGTCCAGTTTTACTCATAATCATTCGATCAGACGAAATCTCTTGTTTACCATCTTCAACAAAGCAACATCAGTGTGTGTGTGTGTGTGTGTGTGTGTGTGTGTGTGTGTGTGTGTGTGTGTGTGTGTGTTATATTCCTGAGTGGTATGGCAACCCCAAATCCAAAAATCCCCCAAACCATCGCCTTGATGTTAAAACACCAACATATAAAACAAAAATAAAAAAATTGCTGATTTGTTGCTGCAGCCATTCCCTCATTCATTTCAATGAGAGTACTGTCTGAGCACAATGCAACAAGACAGACCTTCAAACTCGTAGATCTGTGACTCAATCAAGTTTCCAACATTATATCTCCTAATCTCATCAGTTCCTGAAGCAGCATGCCTACAGCAACGCACCTTTTTGTTTGATGCACCGCTGTTACAGTTTGAGTAAAGGTTTGAGTAAATGTTTTTTAGCTAAGTCATTGTGTGAAAGCAATACAGATGTAACCTATAGGCATCTCAGTGCAACAGTGCATACGTACGAATGAAAATGATGATGCAGCATGTGTCATGCGGTTTCTCATATGTTTTCTCATATGATGTTTCAGCCTACTGCCAACGCGCGCGCGTGTGTGTGTGTGTGTGTGGCTGTGTGTGTGTCTGTGTGTGTGGCTCATGTGCAACCAGTTTTCAGTCTCTCTTTTAGTTCCTCTTTTAAACAGGACAATCACTTTTCTCTTTCACAACATCTCACCCTGTGTGAACACACACACACACACACACCCACACACACACACACACCCAACCACACACCGCTACTATAACCACCAAACCATTCTTTGGGGTTAGCCGCTAAGCTAACCCTCACCACAGACAGTTGATGACCGTTTGGAGGTTTTGGTGGAGAAGCTGCTCCACATGTGGCTTGTTATCTCATGATACATGCAAATGATTCACTGTTTCCTCCACAAATCATGGAGGAGAAGCTCCTGAAACAACCCAGGACCAACGTTAATATTCCTCAGTGTTATACAAAAACACATGTATTTGCCCGTGTTACTTTTTTTGAAAGAATATGCTCTTATCATTAACAAATTATTTTAAATAAATATAACTCGAATATATCGACATTTTTAGTCCAAATGGATGAACATTATCATGTATAGAATAATATGAAAATGTTATCATTTAAATTATTTAAATTCTAGTGGCACATGAAATACATCTAAAAAAATCTTTATTAGCAAGTTACTCATAACAAAAAGAAAAGTGAAGAATGTAAAGGGTTCAGTTTAAAATATGATACATGACAGTTTCTCTCCCTCTTATGTTGCAGATGTGAGTTAATAACTCCAAAGAAGATCACGTTTTGTATCTTAAAATACTGTACTCATTGTCCTGTGCGCTTACATTTGCATCTAAACAAATGTTCACTACTCAACTTTCTAAAATTTGAATTGGACTGCACATGAATCATTAATGTATGCTAATTTTCCAACAGCAGCATTATGGAATCTATTAAATATTGACAGGTATTCCATATTTCCATTCAGCAGCATGGGGAGTACTTGTCATTTTTATACGTGTGTGAGTGTGTTAGCAGAGCTTGTGTACACACTGTTTTAAATAGATTAGTGGGGACATTTGCCTGCGACTGATTTAGTGTAACTGTAGTAGTGTGTCCGTTGAAGAGAGAGGGGGGGGGGACATTAAACGGGGAGTTACGAGGAAGTTGAGACAACACCGTTTTTATTCACATTTACTTCCCCTAATTTATCCATGCTGTGTTGTGTAAGAGTTTGAAGCCCCATCTCACTCATATTTGGGTCAATGGCACTCGTGTGTTTGGTGTGTGTGTGTTTGTGTGTGTACCTCTTCCGCTGCGGCCCACAAAGCGCAGGTCATTGAATCGGGCCACCTGGTTCTTGAGGGCGGCCGTGGCGTTACGAAGCTCAGCGGAAAAGTTCTCGTCGTTTCCCGCCATCACCGTAACCAAGGTGCCGTCAGGGGTGTCGCCAAGGGCAACCACCTAGAGACATGGAAGAAAATTGTCGGACAGTTTGAGATGTGTGATGTCTCATAGAGGATATTCTGAGTTTATACATGTGTTGATGGTTTAAAACTAAAATAATGATATTCAGTTTCACTCGTACTAAAGTTCCCATCATGCTTTTAGGGGATAGAAGCAGATAGTGACCTTATGTGCTGCACCCAGGCCCACAGACACACAGATGTACACACACGCACAAGCAACCACACACACTCATACTACGATATATATGGAATCTGCACACACACACATGCACAAACCAACACCAACACATGCACACACCCAGATAGATACTCAGAGAAGCGATAAGCTTGACTACCTCAAAACTTCATGAAAAAGTTGCAAATGATGGAATAAAGGAAAATGATTCTCCGTATGTGTAACATGTAAACATGAAACGTTCCATGCACTAGAGAGCACACTGTCCTCCTCCACACCTCCAGCAACATTTCCATACGAGCGCTGATCACACCGTCCGTGTGCAAATGAGTAACAGACACTCTCCTCTCTGTCACCTGAGCTAACTGCTCTGTTTTTAATAACATGTTCTGTATGTCTTAAGTTCTTTGGTATGAGCTGAACATTTGCTGTGCTGGTGATGACAGTGTTGAGCTGATCTGGAATGGAATGGTGGAATTAATGATGAGTGGGGATTTTAAAGAAACAGTTACTCTGGGTTTGAAAATGAAAATACAAGTCTTGGCACAAAAATATTTCATATAGGAGAACTGAAAGAGGAAGAAAGAACACACACACAGTAAGGGAGCACGACATGAGCCCAGCAGATAAACAGGAAAAGGCCAGTGTGTGTGTGTGTGTGTGTGTGTTCTTAAACCAGGTGCCTGTGAATACAAAGATATTAATGGTTTGACTTTTTAATTCATTTCTAGTTTAGTTTTAGGAAGTTATCAGATTCTGTTTGCTAGTTTCATGTTTTAATACATTTATTTTGTGCACCTATTGTGTGAACAGTTCTCTGTATAGTATAGGTTTTTATAGTATGTTTTCTGGTTGTGTGTGTGCATCATAACAATCGTCCATTATCAGTAAGAGGCAGTGACATCCGCTCATGACGCATAATGCACCAAACACACACACACGCATGCATGTGCGAACACTAATGCATAAAAGTCAATAAATCAATCAGCTGTGTGTTCTGCGGCTAAAAGCTGCTTTTCCACAAATGCATTTTGTCTCAAAGTGCAGATAAGCTGTGTGATAAGCACACACACACACACACACACACACACACACACACACACACACACACACACACACACACACACACACACACACACACACACACACACACACACACACACACACACACACACACACACACACACACACACACACACACACACACACACCCACACACACACACACACACACACACACACACACACACACACACACACACACACACACACACACACACACACACACACACACACACACACACACACACACACACACACACACACACACACACACACACACACACACACACACACACACACACACACACACACACACACACACACACACACACACACACACACACACACACACACACACACACACTATTTTTCTCATAGGAAATAGTATAAAACCCAAACAATCGTCAAATGGTCGTCTATGGAGAGAGCTTTACATGGAAGGAATTGTAATAATGTATTATATTAAAAAACGAAAATAATTGTACGGAAAGATCTTCCTACTTTTAAGTGAATAAACTATTTAAAATACTACTTTTTATCGAGGAATACAACTAACTTAGCAACCTAACGGTCTCTTATTCTGTATGTTTATATTTTATATTGTGTATGCGATTGTGATATATTGCTCTGGTGATGATATGTATATGTTTACTGTTGTTTGTATGTTGATTTTCCATCATATTTTATTTTGTATTAATTTGCAATGCCTTGTTTACATGCTGCTATAACAAATAATTGTAATAATCACATAAAACTGGGATCAATAAATGACATCTAATCTAATGTTTACTGTGTGGCGGTTTAATCTCTAACAAATCGATATGTTTTATCATACCTAATAGGTTAAGGGTACTGTTGGATGCAGCAGTGGATTGGGTGGAGGTACCCACCTTGAAAGCGATGGGCAGGGTCTTGTTGCACCTCCAGTGTGTGGGCAGCACGGAGCACAGGAAGTTGGGGCTGTCCGTCTTCACCAGTTCCCCCGGATGATCTGAGATCACCTGAGAGGACAACGGAGAGCCGTGAGGGACATTTACATCACTACAACAGATATTAATAAGGAGTGTGTGTCAGCGTACCTCCACCATGCCTCGGTCAGCCATGCGCAGTTTGCCCACCAGAGAGGCCCCGCCTCCGGCCTCCTGGGTGCCCAGGGGCAGGGCCTCGGCCATCTTCCCCCCCGAGGCGAGGGTGGTGGAGGGGGGGGTGTAACGCCGGCCGGGGGCTGGGTCTGAAACAGAACACATGAGTTGGTTATTCTGCTCTTAATATCTCCATGATGATCGCTGGTTGAATAAAAAGAATTAAATATCTGAGAAGGAGACTTCACAGTCCTCTCAAATATTCTAAGGATGTATTATAATATGCACAATAGCAGTATTTGTTGTTGCAATAGGTCACAGAATCCACCAATGATGTAATGTACAGGAATTCCAGGAATAATAAATATGTATACATATAAGATATGTGGTCTATTATAGTGCATACTTAATTCAATACTGTATATTTATACGGTGTATTCAATAGATATACTCTACGGATATATATTTTTCCCTGTACATATTTACTGTTTCTGTTTATTCTCTCATTTATTTAATTTGTATTCAACGTGAAATGCCTTACTCCCAAATTAGGATCAATAAAGTCATTCAAAAAATATAACCTAGAATCAAATTAAATATAAAAACAGATAAAACAGAATGTAAAATAAATAATGTATAGTAGAATAAATACTGTACAGTAATAATATTTATAAATAAAACCTTTTTGTCAGTCTTCTATAATCGTACATGTATTTTCTTTGAGTTTCGGACTATTGGTTTGGCAACACAAGATATTTGAAAGCGTTATATCGCTCAGTATTATATGTCCTTCAAAGAGCCATGGAGAAAAGAAAAATAGTGTCAGCCATGTCAGTGAGAACTGTGATATATAAACACTAATGGAACAGATCACACACACACACACACACACACACACACACACACACACACACACACACACACACACACACACACACACACACACACACACACACACACACACCCACACACACACACACACACACACACACACACACCACACACACACACACACACACACACACACACACACACACACACACACACACACACACACACACACACAACACACACACACACACACACACACACACACACACACACACACACACACACACACACACACACACACACACACACACACACACAGTGGTCACACTGACTGAATACCACAGAGTGGAGTCATAAACTGAAGACAGAAGCAGCACTTCTGCCCTCTCTTATAAAAGAATAAAAGTGAGGGAAGTGGTACGCCATCAACTCAAATGGTCAATTTCAGAGCATGTCACATAATGAAGAGAGAGCCTCACATACAACACGATGTGTGTTAGTGAAGCCTGTGTGTTGGATTTCAAAAAACAAAACTTTAAATTCACTGTAAAGTATTAGAGTTCAGTTCTAAAAAGTTGCATCAATAATGTGGAGATCCAGAGTTATTTGTGCGCTTTTTTGGACAAAATGTGACAATTAAAACGATTTGTTTTAAAGTCAGCATGTGTCGTGGAAGGAGATGTTGTTTACTGCAGCAGATAATGAAGTGAAGTTGGATCATATCTCACATTTTGTTGAACTGTACATTGTCTGGAAAGTATTTTAAATTTAGGGAAAAAGGAAAATAAAAAATGAGTGACTTTTGTAAATCATATGGACACTAAATTATTTTAAAAAATGTTTGAAAACCAGTTTTGTTTTGTGTATAGTATGAGTCTTTAAAAATACAAAAACACAAATATTTTGTATGAGTTAATATGATATTAACCTACGATAGGAACGAGTTTTTTGTATATTTTGTTATAATGCACCATGCTTTAAATGAAATGGTAAGTTTCACAAGTAACAAAATAAGAGAGACTAAGCTCCCAACTTCACAACAAATAACTTATAGGCTACTATAAAAGCATAACAAACAGATCGTAGAGAAATGGTTGTACCGTATTTCGCGTCCCACAGGAACACCATTTGTGCGCCACGGTGCGTCCAGGTATACCCAGATTGCTTCACTGTAAACCCCCCGATTTTCGTCTTGTTTGGAGAATAGGAAGCAGAATATTGTATGTATATATTTTTAAGAGCGTGTCACGACGGTAAAAATGCTCCAGTTGAGGCGCGTTATCCAAATGCGCCGGATTTCAGCCGTTGTGCGTAAAAGTCGCGGACAGAACCAAGCAGAAAGCAGCTTTCCAAAAACCTGCACGCAGAATTCAAGACTCGAGACTTGGGATGACAGCTGGAAAATCTTCTTGCAGTTTAAAATCACACATGTTTGACATCAAAACTGGAAGGAAACTGACGAAAACACGAAAAAAGGAAGGTAAATGTGAAGTAATTTTCCTCTAAATGTTGTTGCCTCCTGATTGTAACATTACACTGATGCAGTGTTACTAGGAAGCTGCGCTCTCTCTCTCCCTCCCCCTTGAGATGAATGGACATCCCGGCTGACAGCGCAGGGCTTTTACTGGCAGACCTCGCGATTTGCATCTCATCTGCGCTCCAGAAGCTCTCAGCCAATTAGGGGGATCGCCGCGGAAAGGGATTGACCAATCAGAGTTATGTCCGTCCGAGAGGAGGCGGGGTTTAGGGGAAACGGAGAGGGGGAGAAGGCTTCCGTCGTACTTCCTCTTTTGCGGAGAATGAATTCACTATGTGCTCAATATGTATATTGTATTTGAATTCAGGGACATGTCGAATATCTGGGTAAAGGTACGCACACAATGGACATGGAAAGGAAAGATTGAGCAGCATTAAAATAACTCAGTTACATTGAATACCATTTCAAAATTATGTTAAAAAAGATCCAAATGTCTCCCTATGTTAATCCACATATTTAAAACGTAAAATATATTTTACCCTAGTCCATCCTTAAAGATTTCCACTCGAAATACTACATGCCGTCGCTTGATTAAAACTATGCAAAACAAGTGCATCTGCTGCAGGCTGTCAGTGCCGGATATAGACAGCAGGGGGCAGTAGGCGATCTAAGTCCTACACCAAACTCCATGTTAAAAAATGAAGTTATATTTGGTGTTGTTTTTGACCAACATTTTCGAAGGTGTATTTATGTTGTTTTAGGATTACGTTTGTTTTAGATATTTTGTCCCAATTAGGATGATATTTTCAACTCACATAGAAGTGGGTGCAACATTTTAATGAAGTAAGTATTACGTCTGTGGATTTGATTTGGATCAGCTTATTTAAAAATGTTTCCTGTTGTGATTATATGGAGAAACGGTTCTATGACAGAGAACTGTCATTGAACCCGGAAGAAAACACTTGCCAAAAATACAATATGCCTGATTAAAAAAGACATGTCCTAAGCCATGCTTTTCTGAAATTGTTATTTTATGAATCCCTTTTTCAATGCATTTGTGTCCCTTAAAATAAATGACTTTAAATGATGCACTTTGGATTTTAAAGAGAGACTGAAACAACATTAACTAATTTCTCAAAGTAAAATGGCTAAGCTCTTTAGTGGATTTTCAGTTGAAATACCATAAATAAATGTGCTTTACATTTCAAATAATTACAACCATTATTTCTTATTTGAAACAATTCAGACTAACCTGAACATTTTGAAAACTGTTGGAATGGTATTTTAAGGTTAAACTAGGTTCTTTACATTTAGTAAATAACAAAAACTCTCTGTCTTAATTCAGGAAAACTGGAAATACATCACATTCAAAAATTAATTTGCACGTTCAAAGTTAAAATATATATATGAATATTCATTCATATTGAATTTAAGAAGCGTTGTTTTGTCTTTATATATAAAATGCTCTTTTTGTTTTCTCCCTGCTCATCGTTCATTTTAAGAATTAAGATAAGGATTTAGAATTTAACAATCTCAAGGCTCATCCCGCCTGAGAGCCACTCTGGATTCAGTCAGTTCAGTTTGAGTTAGCTCAACACGCTGTCGGATGAGTTTTAGGGAAACGCCAGTCTGCCTCTGCATCCGTCCCTCTGTAGCCAAAGGGGTGATGATAAAAAATGTAAACGCCTGCACTCTGGTCTCGGCCTCAGATGGACGTGACGTGATTTGCCCCCGGAAATATCTATTTTTCACTTCCTCATCGAAGGCTTCTTTGTGCTTTTTTACTTGTTATGATCAATTCAGATGCTTACCCCCTCACTGTATTCTCTTCAGTTTCTCTACAATCACAATATTAAACCTGCAGCTAAAGCACTTCTGTCAGCCTGCAATTTCATCAAAGTTAGTGACATTACATCTGACACTGGACATTTATTCCTCATATAACCACACTTATTAATAATTCAGGAACACTGAAGGATGCTTTGAAACTATATATCTGTGAGGCCTTATGCCAAATAAAGACTGATACTATAGAAGCAATTGTGAGCAATTCATATAGCCGTCCGTGTAACATCATACACACATATACCCTGATGGTTATTTGTGGTCAAATGATGCCACCATTCTTTTATATTCATTATTATCATTTCATAATTCAATGCTTTGCTTGACTTGATCTCCTAAAATTAAATTGGATTGGATGCTTTTAAGATTTGAGTCCAACTAGTCATGCAAGGGGAAAATAATTTGAGATTATATTAATATAAGACGTGAATAAAAGAGTGAAATGAACAAGAAAAAAAGAGAAGCCGCGACAGAGGGAAGGGAGTGGGATTTCGCTCCGCCAGCGTTTCCCACTGCCTTGTAATGTTAGCTGTACTCTGATCCATAATCAATACACAGTCACAATTGCCTATCAGTTATTGATGCCAGCATTCCCTAATATTATCAGTCTCAGTAAATACCTTGTTGTTTGTTTGTGGGTCAATTAAATATATACCAAATAGAAAATATACCCAATGAACAATTTAACTGAGTATAAGCAGCATGTAGATTTAGGAATATTGATATTGTAATTTAATACATAGATCAAGAACTCCAGGTCACCCAAATGACCTCTAAAACCTGTCTGAGAACTACCAGAATAATGCTTAAAACTCCAGAAGAAGTCTCCTGGAGCTTGGGGTGATTCTAGTACGGATAGGAAATATACTATCTCCAAGACAAGTCTTACAAATCCAAGGAATTTGGTAAGTATGGAAAAGTACAGAGAGGAAAGATGACTACAACAGTCCTAAGTTCAGTTCACCGTGTAACATTGCACTGTCTCTATCAGTCGTTCGTGCTGGAAAACTAAAGTAAAATATTCCAAGAAAAGAAGTGCATATCAAATGTCTTGAGGATTATAGTGCGACACGCTACTCAGAACAATGACAGAAAATGAACAGGATAATTGTGGCCAGAATAATGTGAAGGCAACTCTTCTACAACATAGCATGAAATAAGCAACATTGAGTTGGACATAGTAAAACAGAGAATTTGAATAAACCAGATATTGATTTTGGTGAATATGAGGTGTCAAGAAGAGTTAGCTTTACCAAAGAGTCCGCTGCCTGTCCGGCCTTTCCTCATCAGGTACATGGCCCAGGACAGGGGGCCAGAGCTGGAGAATGCCCCAGGGTTCATGCCTCAATCCTGGGTGCAGAAGCAGCAACAGCTGGAGCCAAATTTCCAACACCCAGAGGGAAGAGAAAAGAGGGTATCAAGGGAACAAATAATAAGACGAAGAGGTAAGAACAGTAAGAGGGAATTTGTAGAAAAAGAAAAAAGGCAAAGACAAGGAACAAACTATTTGTTTCTACTTTGGGTAAGTCCAACTTTGGAAGTCAACTAGAACACTTTAAAGACTGTCGGCGAAGAAAGAGCCCTATTCTCACCTTCCCAAACGGCTTTTATACGCCTCATTCATCACATCACCCCCCTACTCCCCCCCCTTCCATCTCACCCTACATATTAGTAAAAATAGAAAAAAAATAAGGGAGTTAAAGCGAGGGAGAGGAGAAGGAGGAGAGGAGCCAGTCAAGCTGAATTCATTCCCTCCTTCTCTAAAGCGTAGCCACGGGGGACACGACTCCACTTTGCCCTCGGGCTCTTCAAAGCTGCTAATTTCATTTAGCTACTCAAATGATTTTCTCCCGTTTTCCTCCCTCCCTCCTTTCCTCCGTCCCCCTCCTTCTTCCTTGCTATTCGGAAGTTCTTGGTGAAAATTGAGGTCACACACTTGAGTGATATGAGTTTGTTTGACGAGCACTGAACCTGCACATTGGCCATTTGTTGAGTTATTTGTTTGTTCTTTTAAAAACTGTGTTCAATAAATGGGATTAATATACATAGTTGTAGCTTGTGAAAGATAGCCATTCTTTGTTGAGAACACGACATAATATGTGAAGAGATGAAACAAAGGTGGCTAACCATCACAGTTTGTTTGGCCAGACAGCCAGGTAGATAGAAAGAGAAAGAAAGAAAGATAGATAGTGGCTGTTTTGGCTATATTCCATATCTTTTGGTTTTAACATTTGGATATGAGTGCATTTTGATTAGCATGTTGCTCATTTGGTTTGTTTATATGCTACCTACAAGCTAACAACTAACAAAATGTCCAAAATAACTCAAATTAGAGTTTAAAGTAGAGGGTTGTGTGGTTCTCATTAGCCACACACACACACACACACACACACACACACACACACACACCACACACACACACACACACACACACACACACACACACACACACACACACACACACACACACACACACACACACACACACACACACACACACACACACACACACACACACACACACACACACACACACACACACACACACACACACACACACCACACACACACACACACACACACACACACACACACACACACACACACACACACACACACACACACACACACACACACAACTCTCAGCGGCTCTTTGGCTGCCGACATCATCACAAAACTGCCTCTGTGTCTTCAGACAAAGAATCTGTGTGTGCGACATATGACAACTCCGCAAACTCAGACCAACAGTGTGTGTGTGACTGTGTGTTTGCGTGTGTGTAACAATGATGATTTGTTAATACTGGTTTTACTACAACAATATCGCTATTAGGTGATTAAGTGATTTGAACTTAGAATAATAGTATACTAAACCTATATTGTTGACTGTAATTGCATTATGTCCATTTGGCTCTATTGTACAAAACAAATCATTTCTTTATACGTTTGTGAAACAGGCTTTCCACCAAAGCAAGACATTTAAGGATTTTGGAATCTGATTTGATCATCAAATTCAACTCAGTAACCTTGTAGTTTTAACTTTCTAAATAATAGTTAATACAAATCAAAGATATAGATACATTATCATGTTCATATATTCTTGAAAAGCAGGATGTTGAAGGTGTTAAGGTGCTGATGAGGTACCAGAGATAAAAGCAGAAGTAAAAATCTATCCCTCCATCGATCTCTCGTCAAGGGTGGCAGCATGCGGGTGTGTGTGTGTGTGTGTGTGTGGTATTGATCATTGCCATGCCACTGTCACTGGCCTCAGGGTGGCCCCAACTCAGGGGACGAGAGGGACAGACAGCCGCTGGCAGAGAGAGAGAGAGAGAGAGAGACTTTTTGACTTTTAACAACAATTATTTATACCACTTTATAAAATGATTCCACTTAGGTCTTAATAATACCATTTATCAAAAATACCCAGGCATTCTCACTACAGCAAAATCAAACACAAACACGCTAAATGTAAAATAACCATGAATGTTAAAGGTTGCAGTCCTGTTGTTTTCAAGTAAGATGAACATGGTGACACACACACACAGTCAAAAGGATAGAGAGCGATAGATATAGTCAATTCAGTCACTCAGTTGATTTGTATCACAGCACTCTCATCAATTGATCAGTGACGGAGGAGCTCGCAATTGTCTCTAGTTAACAGAGCAGCCAATTCTATCACATACACACACACACACACACACTTCGTCTATAATTCATGGGGTGTATTGTGCGGATGCAGTTAACTGCCGCTTAAAAGTAATTAATTGATTTTCTGACATATCAGTTAGCAGCAGCACCAAATGACACACACACACACACACACACACACACACACACACACACACACACACACACCACACACACACACACACACCCACCACACACACACACACACACACACACACACACACACACACACACACACACACACACACACACACACACACACACACACACACACACACACACACACACACACACACACACACACACACACACACACACACACAGTAGGTTATTCACAGGAGACTCTCACAATGACACACACACATTGCTTCAATCATCCTGTTTTTAAGATTAATATAATCCCCAACACACACACACTCACAAAAATAAAGCATGTAGCATTAATGTGCCTCATTTGCAGAAACTATAGTATATTATGTCTCTACCATACACCTACTTAAATTGTGCACACTTGCACCATTTACTGCATGGTGCCGCTTAGTGACTGTACTTTATGGCACAGAGGGGCATTGCTTTACGGCATTAACCACGAAGGGGAGCTGTTGTAAAGCTCTCAGTGTTTCTGCAGGATGGAGGAAGAGGTGAAAAGGTTGGTGGTCAGCAAAGGTCAGCAAAGGTCATCCATGGATAACCTACGAAGAGGGGTAGGGAACAGGATGGATACAAATTGAGTGTCATTGGCTCGATTGGGTGGGACCCGAGGACTTCTGTGCAGATTCCAGCTCGAAATCATGTCAAAAGTGCAAAATGGCAGCGCCTGCATTCAGGACATTTTGGCTTTGACCAATCAGCGACAGTCTTTACTGCAAACTATGCTTCCATAGTTGATAAACCATTAAAAGTCCTTGAATCAAGAGCAGTGCTATATACTCTTTTCCTAAATGCTTTTTTGTACACTACAAAGGTCCAGCAATGGTCAACAATACATAAACACATGTATTACTAACTTGGCCAGCTGTTACTGAGCCTCTTCAAGAAAAGATTATACTGGGAAAGAGGTGTAATTGTTGGTAGACCTATGAGGTCCAATAATGTCTTAAACATTTTCTAAGTGAAAATTCCCTGAAGTGAAAAAAAGTGTGTGCATGTGTGTGTGTTGAATTATTCAACCGGCCTCTATGATGAGAGAAGATGGGCTTATTCTTGCTAAACTAAAAATTGATTTTCTGACACAAGAAATGCAGGAGAGACAGACAGAGGGAGAGAGGAAGAGAGAGACAGAGAGGGGGGGATACCTATTCAATCATGCACACAGTCAAAGTTAGTTAAATGTTCATTCTTTCATCGTAGAAATGTCTAAATGGAAATAGACAGAGCAGAGTGAGACAGTGTTTCTGAGGCAGGGAGACAGCATGACAGAAAGAGATGGAGAGAGGAAGACAGAAGTGCCTCAGGCTGTGTTTAGTGCAGTTTGAATGGCTGAGCAGGTGTATTAGAGCAGAAACTTTTAACTCACAGACAGGCAAGCAAGCACACACACACACACGCACACACACACACACACACACTAACATACATGCACACACTTGGGGCTGGACAGTGAATATGGACCTCACGACTGATCAGAAAGCTTTACTGTAAGGAGGTCCCATCAGTATCCATTCCTGAAGAGCTGAATGACGCACGCCTCACACTGATGCAGGTTGTGTGGACTGATACAAATGTCCAAAACTCTATTTGAGGATTGACACAGACAGTAAATAAAGTGCGACTTATAATATCTGTGACGTTCAAAAGCCAACAGAAACAGATGGGCTAAGAGAAACTAAAACTGTAGCACATGTGAGGAATTACCCTACAGAGATGAACAAAGGTTTATCTTATCTTATGTGGTGTCAGAACAGTTCATCCATCCAGTGCTGGAGGCCTAAAGCTCCATTTTGTTTTATCACACACAGCCGTTTAACTTTCCAAAAGGCTCAGGTTTCAGCCAAGCTAGCAGCTACTTGGAGACAGTGGTGCTTTGAGCTAAATGCTTACTGTCGATGGTTATAATAAGCATATTTACCATGTTAACCATCTGAGCTCAGTGTGAAAACACTAGCTATCACTAAACAAAGGGAATAACTTCATGGATATGCTGGTCTTTGTCTAGGAACATTCTTACCTTGACTTTAACAGTGTGTCTCTGGCTCAGGTTTATCAAGACAATGTTCATTATTAAAAGCCACACACTACATGCACTTCAATATGCCAGTCACTCAAGACAGCCCAAAAAAATCAATGAGTGTTTCCATGGCCGAGATCATTTGTGACAGTTAGAGAAGCAGACTTACAATCAACTAATCAGCCATTCACACCCCTCAGGCTTTGGCTACGTTATGCTTTTTGTAGGGTGTGTGTGTGTTTATGTGAGTGCACATTTGCATGCCAAGTTAGCTCGAAGGTTCTGGAAAACAGAAATAGATCACCAAAGTGGAAGGAACCAGCCAATCAGACTCACTGCAGCCGACCACACGGGGACACACAGGAGTCCCAAACGAGCCAATGAATAAATCAGAAGGCGTAGTCGTTGGGCGGAATTTAGAATAGAGAATAGAAGGGCGCTAATGGGTACGAGCCACACATACACACACATAACGACAACACTTTGCATTCACTTGTTAACCACAATGTGGCGACAAATGGGGATGGAAGGAAGAAAGGGGGTGAGGAGGAGTGAGAAAAGGGTGAGGAGACTCTTTGCATGGCTTCTTCGTTAACCACAGGGCTGAAGGGACCTCGCCTCGACTCACACAGGACCCGGTCCCACCAGACTTTACAGACACGCACCCGCCATCTCGCCCATTAAGGCTGAGGGCGAAGCAGTGCGGTTTGGAGGAAACATTGGAAAAGCTGTGGATGATCAGAGGCTCCATCGATCGTGCGATGGCTGTTCGCTGTTGGCGGTTTCTCGTAACTTCGGGAGAGGTTAAAATCAGCGGGGAACTGTAGCGAAGCAAAGAGGGCGGCTGAAAATAGAGATTGGTGACGCCATTTTTAAAACCAACAATGCTAACATATTAAGTTTATTGTAAAAGCGCAAGAAAAACTGTCAATGTCAAAACCCAACTGCAAGGCTAACCACTGACCAACACTTGTAACACTCAACCGCTCACATAAACACACACACATTGGACATGGCATTGACTGGTGTGCTCGGATTGGGAGCACACTGTGGTATGGTTCAGCTTTACCATTATTATGGTTCTGTGGCCTAGCTGGTGGTACCCCTCACAACTCACATGCATGCACACACACGAAAAAATGGAATCAGAATGAGGTTTATCGCCAAGTGGGGTATTCATTGAGGAACTCTCATTGATGTTTGGTTCAAACTCAAATCGGCAGCACTTGAAACAATATTTAGATCTCTGTAATGAAATCTATCCCCTTCTTCAAAGAAATATCTATGTGTGAAACTATCAGTCAAATCTCACCAAACACCAGTGCAGACACTATCCAGAACTCTTTGATATTACAACATTGAAGTGATTAAGGAGGGCGGTCGGAAGGAAGGAAGGAGAGATGAAAAAGAGGAGAGGAAATGAAAGGATCTTTATGGGAGCCCCGTCTTCCTGCTGCAGCTGATGGCGGAGAAGTGGAGGAGGGAAACAGGCTCGACAAGGAACGCTAAACTCTTACCCAGAGAATGCAGTGTTGCATGTGACATGGACACACACATACAGGAGGGATGGAGACAAATAGACCCTATTACACTGATCTGCAGTTATTGTAGTAGATTTAACTTCATTCAATCTTTTCCCTCTGTGTAAAAAAATCAACAATGGGCCACAATTAACATGAACACACATTTTATTTCTGCTCAAACACACACCGCCCTGCGGCCACATACACTCTCTACACTACCAAATGTGGATTAATCCGCCGCTTAAAATAGTCCCCAACACACTGTTTCTGTCTGTTTATACGGAATATGTGCTAATCTACGATAAAAGTGAGTGTCAACATTTTTAGCAGGGGGCGGTGCGGAGATCAAACAGCAGAGCCCATCTGTGTGATGTGAGGCCAGGACGCCACATGGGAGCCACTGTGTGTGTGTGTGTGTGTGTGCGTGTGTGTGTGTGTTTCTGTGTTTCTGTGTGTGTGTAATAAGGGAGAACATGTATATATAAAAAGGCATGCTATGCTTATTCCCAGGCTTCAAAATAAGTCAGAGATCACAGCTGGACAAATGAGCAAAAAGACACACACACACACACACAGTCAACATGCATGGATCCAAACATTTTTGGGCACCACATCCAAAGGAACCCAAAGATTATCAGAGCCGATCAGAAATGTGGTGAATCTGCAGAAGTGGAACATATTTTGCTCCCGTCATGCTGTAGTTTTGTGTGTGTGAATGTGGGTGTGTGTGGTTTACCAGCTTGGTTAACCAATACTCTCTAAATGCAAAACTGGGCACCACACACACTGATCCTCCCTCTCTCTCTCCGGTCATTTGGTTACATGTCTACATTCAAATTTTGCATGGACAAATATTAGTTTAGAACGGTTCCTCTATCATATTACAGTTAATCACACACTTTGTGTATCAACGTCTGCTTGTGAAAAACCCACTAAAATGCACTGTAGATTTACTTCCTGCAAGTTAACCGCGATACCATGTGTGTGTGTGTGTGTGTGTGTGTGTGTGTGTGTGTGTGTGTGTGAGTGTGAGTTGAATGCGAGGCCTTGTCTTTCCAACGGTCGCTCGTTCACACACATCCTCTCTGCTTCCTTCTTCCTTCACTATCTTCTCTGACTGTTACAAAACACACACACAGACACAGCCAACAGACATTTTGAAAGAGTGAAACAGCCTCACAACATTTCACAAACCCTCTTATTGTGAAAATAAGAAACATGAAATTACATTTTATATGAATGGAATAATATAATTGTACAGATATTTCTATGACTATCAATTTCTTATTATTATACGTTTTAGTCCTACAGAACATGGGATTTGACAACATTACTTTGGAACTGTTAGTCACCTTTATATCCTAAATAATGAAGAACATAGCTAGTTGCAGCAGTATTGACCCTGGAGCCTGTTAGTGACTGCACCGCTCTTATTTACTGCGCTTTGACACTGATGAATGTCAGAAAGCTCATATATTAGTGTTTGTGAGGTTGTATAAGTGCTCTGTGGCTGCACACTGAGAGTCAGCATCATCTCTTGTAAAATCAGCAGAGGCAGACCTGTGGAGTTTCCTCTGCCTCTCTTTGCCGTCTCCTGATAACGCTGAGCTGCTGTCTCTGTGTGCAGGTGCAGCGTCCAGATAACCAGAATCTGCACAGGCGCACACCACGGCCCAACAATGTGCACAAGTGGAGAGTGGCACGCAACACGATGGGTTCACACGTAACGAGAGGCGTAAATTAAAGAAAAAAGGACTCCGGAGAACAGAAAAACAGCTCCGGAGCAGTTTGATATATGAACAGAGAGAAGGGAACAATGCTAATACAACAAGCGGGTGGAAATGTACAAAAACAAGTTGGAGTGGAGTGTCTTCAGCCAAAAATATGAAATTTATGGAGCGGGAAAGGAGGGACGGAGGAAATATGAAGTGTGTAAAATAAATTACATTGATGGAGAAAAGTAAAAATACAGACTATTGTTGTTATTTTAAAGATTACAATGTTTTTAATATATATTTTTTAAAGTAACAACAAGAAGTACTTTTATTGTAATATTACTATTTAAAAATCTTTTAATTTTTTTATTTCATTGAATTATATTTATTTATTCTGGAGTCCGAATTCAGTTGAAATCTCTTCTAATCTACAGATTAGTTGAAGTTCAGTACACAGCTTTGATTCACAACAGATTCATTTTCTACACATACAAAAACACAACAAAAATGTTGTTTAATTATTTTTTTACAGGTTTGACAGATATGTTGGCCTATAACAGTGTGTGGATGTTTTATTGTGATCAATTCAGTAACAATTTTTGTACATTTAGAAATATGAAAGCTAAAAGTAAAGCTGAAAAACTTTAAATGACTGTAGTCAGAGCAGATCATCTCAACGGGGGAACAACTACAGTCACACACACACACACACACACACACACACACACACACACACACACGACGATAGAGATAAAGAGGTAACGTGCATTCAGTAGATTTGTTAGTAGTACGTGTGGAAGTGCAAATTGGAGGAGAGTTGAGTGAGGCCATAGCCACTGAGAAACAACCAATAGGATTGTAGGAGGTGGAAACCAATCAGAGTTGAGAACCACAGAGATTCAGATGGTTTAACCACATGTGCTGTTTGACTTGATTTTGTCACGTCTCAGTACAATGCATTTACTTTTTCCCCTAACAAAAACAAAAAAACAAGGGAAAGACTTAACAAACCTAAGCTTTGTTTAAAGCCTCCAGTTGAATATGCTCACACTGAATTCTGTAAATGCATCCACCAACAACTGACAATGCCTGCAGACCTGATTTATAAAAAATCCTAAAAGGATCAATAAAATATTGGCTGCAACTTAAAGTGCTCCCTGCTCGACCACCACGAGAACCAGAGTCCAGCACTATCAAAGTCAACCCAACTATAACACAATGCAAACATGACCACCTCGCTCTTTGGCACACACAATCTCACACACATAGTACATTGCAATGTAATCTGGCCCTAAATAGACAGTATACTTTTCAGTACGTTAGCTCTACAAAAAATGAACCAGAAAAAACACACAACGGAGCAGCCAAAACATACACTTGCATACAAAAAACCCCACTTACCTATAATCAAAGCTGACGAAAATGACCCAAAGACACTGTTGGATGCCATGAAAGGATTATTCTTCAGATGTTTTTCAGACTCCACCTTTTTTCATCTGAGTAAGAAAAATCACAAATACAACAGAAAATGAAAGGTCAATAGGAGATCCTCCAACGAGTTGCAACATCAACATTCATGGCCAATCTCTAAACCGCAAACCACATCTATGTGGGCGTAGAAGTATGTGAAAGGGAACATGTAACCCTCGCTGATCTACACCAGTTACAGGAAGTCTTGTTCACGACAACTCACTGCACTGCAATAGACAATCTACATGACAAAAATGATTATGTGAACACAGATGCTGAGTTAGTTCCATTCCTTTGTGGAAGGAGCTCTGTTTAAGGCCTTCTGAGCCTGAAGCAGCCAAACTAAGGGCTGGTCCAAGGTAAGCCTGAGCCAGACCTAACTACCCCCAGCTGGTTAACTGCCTCTTGGAAGTAAACTGGTACTAGCGATGTTTAAATTAAATTACAAAGAATGATAACTAACATTTGGCGCTACGGTTAATAAGAACATTTTGAGTTTTGAATAGTAGGGTGTTTAATTGTATGCAAAATCAAACAGACAAGCTAGCAGATAAAAAAAAAACATCTGTTGCCAAGTTAATGGATGATAAACAAACAATATGTAATCTACAGTAACTGCATTTGTTTTATTTTAACTAAAGAAAAGCGTGCAACAAGAAATGATGAGCATGTCTGTTCTGCCTTCCTATGTTTCCCGTGCACAGGCATGGAGGTCAGAAGAACGGAGTATCAAGCAAGCACTTTGGGTTTATTCTCCTCAAGTGCAGCTATGTTTTAGTTTTGTGCAGAAATGATGACAAAGTGAGGTAGCTGTGTTTCCTGCCACGACGAAACTAAAACTGGAAACGTCTTTCGAGATGTGTAAAAACCCAACATGCATCAGCTCCATCCTGGTCAAATTTGAAGAAGTTTAAAAATGATTTACATAGAAATGAACACGGATGATTTCCCCCTTAATGCTTATTTTTCTTCTAATGATAAAACTCTGAGATACAAACAGAAAGACTTAAATAGTAGCGAGGCACTCTTACCCCAGCTGAGGTGTCCCGCTCCTGAGAAGAGGTGGCTGAAAAAGCTCCTTGGTTTTCCCAGTCGTCCACTCAGATGCAAAATAATCCACAAAACTCATTCTGTGTACCTTTCTCTACATGGCGTCTTCTCTGTCCGTGGACGTGCTTGCAGCTCGGCTTCCGCACTTCCTCTCTGTCACCATCTTCCTCTCTCTCTCAGCATTGAGTATGTGGTTCTCCAGATCTCCTTGCTGATGAGCTTTTTGACATTCAATGTCGCCGAAGAGTCTTTCTCTTCTATTAATCTGGCCTTGTGGCTTTGTTGTGTGCTTGTGTGTGAGTGTGTAATCAAACTAACCACCTGCCCCCCTCAGCCAACAGTCCTCACCGAGGAAGTAGCTGTGGTTAGGGCAAGCGAAACGGAGGGAGAGGGCGTTGTGGTGTGTGTTTGTGAGCGCCCATATGTGCGTTTGTGGTCTGTGTGTTTGTAGCGGGGTTAGACAGAGGGAGTGAGTCACCTTTACTTCACCAAGCCTCACAGCAGGTCAGACTGTCAGACCACTGTGACCACTAGTGTGCGTGTGCGTGTGTGTGTGTGTGTGTGTGTGTGTGTGTGTGTGTGTGTGTGTAGGAGCATGTTGAAGGTTAGTTAAGGAGAGAAGTGTATCCATTGCTGTTTTATATTGCGTAGAACTGATCACTGCGTTGCTTTTAATACAGGATGCATGTGAGTAACAATACTCAAAGGGGAATTCCACTGACTTGACATGTTGTATAATGTATTCTGTGGCTCCAAGACAGTTGATAAAAAGAAACATCACAGAGAGCTGCTGTCATATTTATCACTTTAAAATGTACAAGCTATGCACACTTAACGGGGCCCTGTGAAGACTCCTCTGCACCTTGCTTCTGGTAAAAGGCTGAGCTGCTGGTCAACACCTTCCTATGTAGATAAGCCTGGTTAATTGGACTGTGCCATTAGGCTAAGGTTTAGCCTTTGCAGACCATTTACATGTACAGACACCTATATAACACACTAGAGGGAAGGGAACCCCCCAAAACATATAATAGGGCAATTTTAACCAGTAAAAATGGAAGTCAAATAGGGGTATACAGCTTCAGGAGTCTTAAGTCTGAAAGAAAACCCTGTTAAATACATTTTAATTGTAATGTATATGTGTGTGGTCAAACACCTGCTGGTTACCTATATAATCAGCCTTTTGAGACACACACACACGCACACACAAACACATGCAACTTGACCCTCAAATATACGCCTCCTTACACCCCAACACCTGCACTGACACACTTCTACCCCTCCCTAACTGCAACAAAGCCACCTCACCCAACCCCCTCACACACACACTAACCCACACCCATATGGGTTTCTGACACCCATCTGAAGAAGAGCCAATACACTTCCTGTTTAGTGCTAAGCTCAGCTGAAAGCAAAAACACATTATGTTAAATATTTGTTTGTTACTGATGCACAGTGTCTAGAAAAAAGCTTACGTTTCTCAGGACGGAGGCTAGTTGAGGACTGGTCGGTAGATGTCCTACTGTCTGTCCTGGGAGAGCTCAGTGGGAGGCAGCTCACCCGCTGACCCCTGACCCCTCCCAGACACAACATGACCTCCAGCTGCAGCTTCCTGGGTCACACCGGGGTCAGACACCGCCACGGGGGGCAACATCTGAAGAGAGAGAGAACATAGCAATATTCTCAAAGGTTACAGTAACTAACTGTTGATAGAGGGGTGAATCCTAAAACCCGGAAATGAGTCAGCATTTTACCACTTCCTGTCCCAAGTCAACGGGTTTTTGAGTTTTTGTCAGAAGCCTGAAATGTGTATGTGGTTAACACTAGTTTAGGAGATTTTCACGATTTGTTCTATGACATCATTTTATGACGTGGTCATATTTAACTTTTTTTACAGTTCATTTAGCTCTCAAAATGCTGTAAAATAAATCCCTGAGGTTGGTCCCCAGAAGAAGCAGTGAGGAAACAAAGAGTAGTATCTGCTCTCTCGTCCTACTCTTCAACTTTTTTCATCCCCTTCTACACCCCACGGAGCTCCCACGACATCAAACCCCACCAAGTCAGACCCTGCTTACGTGTGTGTGTGTGTGTGTGTGTGTGTGTGTGTGTGTGTGTGTGTGTGTGTGTGTGTGGGCACGTCGCTGTGTGTGTTCTTACCAGCTGCTAAAACACAACAGTTCAAGTGGCCTTTGAATCAAACAACAAACAGAAGCAGACACACTGGATGCTGTCCAATGGCTGACTGAATTACCCACAAAGCCTCACATTGTGTCCTCTATAATCTTACGCTGTCACTTATTAGTGAATTCAGAAAAACACATCCCTTTTCTTTTATGCAGCCTTTAAAGCCAGGAAGATACATGACTTGTGCTATCCTTTTTAGCCATAAGATGAACAACTATTTCACTCTCCTTCTTTTTTTAAATCAAACAGGGGCTTTACCATTAAAGTACATCTAATGGCATCCACATGGGGACCTTCTTTCCCTCGCCAACACCTCAGAATAATGACATTATATTTGTATGAAGTCAGTGATACTCATCCTCATCAGAGACGATGTGATGAATGCTTCAGACATCCCATGGACTCAAAGGGAGTCGAGGAGGACTTCTGGGAAACAAGTTCAAACGGAGATGTTCCTGGTAGTCCGTCTGTCTGAGCAGTGTGAGAAAATACTGAAGCACAGTTAGTCACCCTCACACACACCAAAACACACCAGCTGTCCACGTGCATCACTAAGATGAACTTTGACAGTTTGAACTCAGGCACCAAAACCTAATGTATTGGTTTATTCCAAAAGAGGACATTGTAATATGTAATGACTATGCCGGTCTATATTAAATGTGAACCATCGTTTGAATCCAGATTTCAGAAACAGAAGTACTTGTAGGAGCCGCATTTAAGTTTATTTTGTTTTAATTTATTTGGAACCTTTATTAATGCATTTTTCTGTTTCAGTGAGAGGTGTGCTTTGCTCAGGTGAAGGGGGCGGGGCTTTAAGTTGGAGGTGCGGTGTGTGACGGGAGAGCAGCAGCAATACCGTCATTGACACGCAGACGCAACCTTATGCTTAGTAAAAGACAGATTATTAGGGTCTGCTGTTTAAGTTTATGTTACATATTGTTTTCCTATTTTGTTTTATGTTTGCTGGAAATAAACGTTGAAAAGCAACCGAGACGTCCAGTGGATTTTGTACTGCGAGTCTGACACTGCTTCCCAGGCCCAAGCTCTACATGTGGCCAAGCACAATAACTTTTGAGGTGAAGGTTACAAGGCAAACTTTTGGGGATTTTGGCCACTACAGTACTATACTCACTCCATTGAGCTCTGATGATGTCATGTGAGAGGGTAGCATTTAGCATCGAAGAATGTGTGTGTGTGTGTGTTTTTGCACTTGTGTGCATGTGTGTGTCAGTCTAACAGATGTCAATGATGATGCATCGTCTGAGCAACACTGCCCATAAAGGACCAGTAAGACCTCTTATGACCACTCATGGGACATATACAACATGTGTGTGTGTGAATGTATGTGTGTGTGTGTGTGTGTCTCTCACAGAGAGATGTGAAGGAGATTCCATCGCCTCCATTTTGATGATTCAGCAGGAGTAGCCGGATTCTTCCAGTAAAACGCCTCCTCCTGAACACACACAAGGATGATGCAAGTGAAGCAGTGTTTCCATCAGACACACCTGGTGGTGTGCGGGACAGCTGCACATGAACATAGAGAAGGTGGACATAAAGCTATCGGAGTACTTGATGTAAATGATGATCAATAGCAAAGCTCTGTGATGGTTTAATAAAAGCTTTCTGGAAGATGTCATGTTTTCCTTTAAATGGACACACACACACACACACACACACACACACACACACACACACACACACACACACACACACACACACACACACACACACACACACACACACACACACACACACACACACACACACACACACACACACACACACACACACACACACACACACACACACACACACACACACACACACACACACACACACACACACACACACACACACACACACACACACACACACACACACACACACACACACACACACACACACACACACACACACACTAAGGCTAATGAGAGGGTGAGTGTGTGAGCATCTCTTTCTCTCTCTCTCTGTCAGTGTACACATCGGGGGTTGGCAAACAGAGCATGGCAAATGTGATAATTGGTCCCATGTGGATTTCAGGAGTGCATTTCTGTGTGTGTGTTAAAGGTTTTGTTTGTTTGTTTGTTTATTTGGTAATTTTTTGTTTTTTTTCTGCCATAGCACTTTTGAGTAAAGTTTTAGTCCGCAAAGTTCACCTTAACTCAGTTAGAAGTGAGGAAGCAGAGTAGAGAAAGGACAGGAGGAGAGAAAACACAGACCATTTGGTTTAATAAAACGTTATTCGAGGGGAATATAAACAGGATAGCAAGACTTCTCCCATACAGTATATGAAATACAAATAAATGCAGTGTCCATGTTCAAATGTCTCCATTCTGTGCTAATGATAATACAGGCAGCTCCATCCTCTTGTGAAAGTAGACCCTGAAAGTTGCCTGTTGGGGTAACCAAATAGGACGTTTCCTCTTTACATCCTCTGGCTAATCAACAGCCCCCCGAGGAACCAGGAGCATGATGGGTATACAGCTCTGAGAGGGGCGGGCACATGTGGCCCTCCTGCAGTAACGAGGACTAACGCTGCTGACGACTGGCTGACGACTGCTCTACGTTACGTTTTTGACATTTATGACATTATTACCAACTGTAAAGGCTATGCTTTAATGAACACAACATATGTGTGTGTGTGTGTGTGTGTGTGTGTGTGTGTGTGTGTGTGTGTGTGTGTGTGTGTGTGTGTGTGAAGGCTTACGATGTAACGACCAGGTTTATGACGACTGTGTGTGTTTGTGTTTATGACATGAGTGAATTTAAAAGCAACACATGGATGCCACACTTACTGTATAATGTGGTTGTTAATGCCTACAGTAGCCACATTACCACTTAATGTGTGTGTGTGTGTGTGTGTGTGTGTGTGTGTGTGTGTGTGTGTGTGTGTGTGTGTGTGTGTGTCTATGTGATGGCTTTAATGACATTACGACTTGACATCCCAAATGAGCTAACAGTATTACGAGCAGATTACTTGACGTGGAATATTCAAAGTGTGTGATACCATGGCTCTAATGGACTAATGGCTTAATGACACACACACAGAAACACACACGTCATGCACACGCACACTCTCAAAAGAGTACCAGAAAAATCTGATATAATAAAGGGAATGCTGTCCATCCTAACACAACAAAGTATATATGTCACTCTGTGTTGGTATTAATATTGCTCCTGCTTCTTTAATGTTCTATTAAATAGAGGAACAACTTAAATGCATTCATCTTTATATGCATTTAGAATCAGCACTATGTGAGCCATCAAGGAGGGCAGCTGACACTTCCATACAAGTGAATAGACATAAAGGATTAAAAGGGAATACACCTTTGATCGCACTCCATGCACAGGACACAGACTCTGCATTTAACCCTTCCTACATGCATAGGTTTCATTGGTCATAAAGTCAGATGTAGGGCTTGTAAATGGGTTTAAACCAAGAGACACTTCATTCTCAGTCATCTAACATGTAGCATGAGACTTTTGGTTGAGTTTTTTTTTTCTAAAACATTCACCAGGATGTGCAGCATTCGCGGTCAACAAACTGTTAGTGAGCTAGCTCCGGTCAAAAGCACTGGACCAAGTACATTTAGTATTTAAAGCTAATGGTTTTATTAGAAGGGTTAGTCTGCTTGTCCAACATGTTGCTTGTTGGCACCTGGTCACCCTAATTAGCCCCCAAAGTGACGTCATATAGAAATGATCATCCACAGTCCGTCAAACAATGGGACACACACCGGCAGTGGGTGTGTGTGATGCTTTGGTTTGCTGTGTGTTTGAGGGGACACACCTCCTGCATCTGTCCACTCTCTCCTCATGTCTCCCTGCTTCTTTACCTCAAAGCTATCAATGACGCTGCAGCTAATTACCAAGCAAACACACACACGCGCAGCAACCTGATCAGTGGCGCGTTAATAGCAGACTTGTTCTGACACAAGACCGCCACGCTACCTTGAACACCATAATTATCAGCAACACATGCACACACACACACACACACGCTCTTATACAGTGTGTAATTACAGGTAAGAGGAGCTAAGGAGTGCAGCAGGTGGCCGCTATATCAGATTGTCAAATGATTGGACATTTAAACACAATTCAGGGACACAGGAGGTAAACGGATTTCCTACATCTACAAATGTGCTTTAATTGTATTTTTCTTATAATGTTATTTCCTCAATAGATGTACACAAATAAGACTGAATTCAAACTCTTTATAAGTTGCTTTGGCCAGAGCAGCAGCATGAACTTCACTACATTAAGAAAATGTTTTGCACAAAGAACTATGTGCAGATAAATTGTGTTCAAAGCAAATAAACTATATTAAGAATAAGTCTAATAAAATAAGTCCATAATAGAGAGGTCGAACAGCTCTCAATGTGTCATTTAGCTCCGGCAGAACCTACAGTATGTGAAGATGTACGGACGGAACACACACACACACACACACACACACACACACACACACACACACACACACACCACACACACACACACACACACACACACACACACACACACACACACACACACACACACACACACACCACACACACACACACACACACACACACACACACACACACACACACCACACACACACACACCACACACACACACACACACACACACACACACACACACACACACACACACAACACACACACACACACACACACACACACACACACCACACACACACACACACACACACACACACACACACACACACACACACACACACACACACACACACACACACACACACACACACACACACACACACACACACACACACACACACACACACACACACACACACACACACACACACACACACACACACACACACACACACACACACACACACAACACCACAGTGTTGAAAGAGGTTTTGAGGCCAGAGTCTGACTGCCAAGAGGTCTGTGGTGAGCGGCTCGCCACAATGTCGGCCAAACCCAAACTCAAAGAAACAATGTGGTGTTTAAAAGGCCAAAATGAAAAGTGTGTGTGCATTTTATTCGTGTTTACATGCAAAAGACGTTGACCAATACCTATACTCCATGTACACTGTTATGTCTGTTAACAGAGTTGTGTTTATTAGATTTTATTGTCAGTATCTGATTGCCTACATTTCCCAGACTTCATTGCTGGAGATATCAATGTATGGTTGGAACACTTTAGTGAATAAACTGAAAAATCTGATTTATTCTCCTAAACTTATCCCTGTAGGCTATGCAGCAGAGGAAATACACAAAACATATCATATGTATTTTATATAATAAATTAGATAAATATATAATAATAAAATGGTGTACTTAATATTTAGTAGTTGTTGTTTAATTATTGACTCTATTATGCAGAAGATCATATACTTTTGTAGTGGAAAGTAAATATAATGATTATATTCTCTAATAACTTAACATTTTATTGAACAAGATCATTTAGTTTGACATATTACATTTAACTAATCATTTTCTTTTTAACTTTATTATCAATACCTTTAAGGCTGTTGTTGTCTTGTCTATAAAGCTTTATTCCAGGCTACTGACAGTTGACTTAGACCCACTGTACCAAGGCAGACATGAAACCAAAAGCTAGGGTCCGTCAGCAGGAGTTTGGGAATGTTGTTAAGCATTTCCTGGCAGAGATATTCGGTATTACTGGAACATCCAGTTGTTAGCCATTTAAACATCTGCTTTTAATGTGAGCTGCTACCAGCTAATTGTTGGGAAACACAGTTGTCTTTAATAGCAACTACTTACTGCTGCTGCTTTACATTTAAAACAGAAATGACACTGTTTGACACACACACGGTCTATCCAGCACATCTACTTTTATTGAAACAGTGTGTGTTTGTTAGCTTGTTTTTAGTAATGTGGCTCATTTATTTTATCGTGTGTGTGCTGTTGACTCACCTTTGAAGTATTGCTGTGTTTGCTAGCAGCCATTTAGCCATGTGTGTGTCTCCCCTCGGCATGGAATGGTTTACAGTGACCCCCACAGGTCGGAAATGACATAGCAACATAACGTTTCACCATGAAGAACATCAACAAAAAGTGTAAACTGATGAACAAATATGAAAGCTTGAGGGAAATAAGCACATATTTACGCAGGTGTGCTGCGTTGCTGTCACGAGGTGCCTGAAGAGGTGCAGGAAGTGTTGGGGACTGCTGTTGTTTCTGCCTCTCAACCTAGGCATCAATTATTATTTTCCCTTGTTAATCGTTTTAATTTAATTGTTTTACAGGTCTTTCTGTGGTGTATTTGGACCAGTGCTTGAATGTCGTTAGCATCACAGGGCTGCTTAAATAGTGGGCCATAACAATCTCTTCCAGGATGTTCACTTTATTTATTTTTATTTCATTCCTAAAAAACACATTTAATTTAAAATAACAAGTAAAAACATGCAACAGGCAACACGTTTACAGATATTGTTTACAACAAGTTTACAGATACTGGAAACGCTAATATAAAACTATCATAAAATAAAAAATGCATATCACGTAGAAATAAGACAGCAACAGTAGAGGATTAACAGTTAAAGCCAAGAGTGAAAGGTTAGTGTTGAGGGCTTTTTTGACTTTTTTTTAAAAGTATGTGCTTGTGATTCCAGTAGGGGGTACAGGAAGCATAGTCAATCTACATACATTAGCCCCTCTGTCATTGCTTCATCTGTTCTTTATGCAACAAGGTTCTCCCATGGGACACCATAAAGTAACCTGACTTTGAATTCAGGACATAAGAGAGTGTGTATTACACCAGTGGAGACAGGAGGACTGGTTGCTGGCACCACTTGTTTGCTTGATTCTAATTGAAGTGTACTTTGGCAGAATGTCCTTGCCAAGATAGAGCTGCATGCCTGTCTGTTGGTTAGTCCATTACTTTGGTTCTTACTGAAATATTTTAAATACTGTTTATAGCTATACACAGTTTGTTGATACTGTTCTGTGCCCTGAGTTTTGCGGTATGTCTTGAAGCTAACCCATGTCAAACCTGTATGATTTTTTACATTTGCCATACACCTATATCAGCGATAATATAATAATTCTGTCGTCGCCCAACTGATGGAGTGTGATGTGTGCACACCGTTCACACAGGAAGAGGAAAATAACTCAGAGCAACAAACAGCCGGCGTGTTTTTGCAGCACTGAGAGGTGACTCTGTGCCTATTGTGACCATTGACAGTTATATGATGCAGGATGAAGGGCAATCTAAGAGAAACCACAGCAACAGAAAGAAATGCATGTGTGTTTGTCTCTGTGTGTGTTTGTGTGTGTGTGTGTGTGTGTGTGTGTGTGTGTGTGTGTGTGTGTGTGTGTGTGTGTGTGTGTGTGTGTGTGTGTGTGTGTGTGTGTGTGTGTGCAGCCACAGACAGCATGTCTCCTTGTCTGCTGGCCCCTCAAATAAATTCTGCGCTGCTGTTTTCCCACTAATACAGCGACTGGAACAATCAAATATATTGACTACCACACACACACACACACACACACACACACACACACACACACACACACACACACACACACACACACACACACACACACACACACACACACACAGATAAGTCTTGTCATGCACTTGAGAGTGTATTGGTTGAGGTCTCCACAATTTGTCCGATATGCAACATTATCTGGTCACATACTGGCTCCACTATGGGCACACACACACACGCACATTTCAAGAGAAACAATGATGTACAGATGCACACTCTAATAACTCTGGCCTCACACACACACACACACACACACACACACACACACACACACACACACACACACACACACACACACACACACACACACACACACACACACACACACACACACACACACACACACACACACACACACACACACACACACGCACACACACACACACACTGACATACAGCACACACTCGCACAAACTCTGCGTCTGCTGGTCTAGGCCCATTGATCTCAGGTTCGGTGCCATGAATCAAATGCTGATAAGAAATACACACACACATACAAACACACACACAAACGGTTCAGACTTATAGACTCCAGCCACATCTGTAGTTGCATTAATCTTAATAATTTTTTGGGGGGGTTGGGTTGTTATTTTTAGTTAGGTAAACTTTATCAAATTGTTGTTTTAATGTAAAATAAAAACTAGAAACTCAGAGGTTATAATGCCTTTTCACCCTCTGTCTGAAACCAGAGCCCAGTCTGTTCTGATTGGTTAGCTCGCTGGCTCTGTTGTGATTGGTCAACCACTTAGAGATGTCCCGTCGCTTACGTACAATGTGTTGGAGTGCAAGCCAACGGAAGCGCGTGTGTCACATGTCACTTTGTTCCGGAAGTAGACAAAGGAGTACAGTGGAGGTGTCTCAGGCAGGGGGGAGGAGTGTGTGAGAGAGAAACACAGGGATTTTAGCCTCTGCAGACCATTGACATGCACAAAAACATGCATCAGTTTATTCGTTGGAACCACTGACTCTGATTTGTACTTGACTTCTGTTACAGTATTTCTGAATGCATCACTATCTGCCTTCAAATGTGACAAAAAGTGTTTTCCACAGATAAGAGGGAGGAGGGAAGGAGGAGAGAGACCGATGGCTTCAACCTCCCCCCCCCCCCCTCCAGGGACCAGTGAAACCCTTTTAAGGCTTGTCTCTCTCTCCCTCTGTCCCTCCATCATGTCTTTCTCCAGTTCTCCCGGTTCACCCTATCACAGGGCAGCCTCTGCAGTCGATAGGGCCATTAGTAAATAACAGATACATAATTTATTTAATATCCTCAGATACATATTTCAGCATCAAATTACCAGGCAGGGGGGAGGAGGAGGGGGGAGAGTGAGAGAGAGAGAGGGGGAACATAGAGACACTACCAGTTGACACGTGGAGATTTAAAATGAAAAACGATCATAGCACATTTTCTGTATTTATGTGTGGAATGTACACTGATCAATTAACTGAGGAGCAATAGAAATATTTGAATAATAACAAAAATATAGATGGTAGAACTAAGTGTACAAAAACACAAGATACAAAATATATACAAATACTGTTAAATAGTATGTATCCAAATAGGTTTCAATGGTAGTTCAGATCATGCAAGCTGTAATTTTAAGTTATATCAGGTTTTTAGATGAACATGATGCATTTTTTTCTACGCAATTAACTAAATGGATCTGCAGTTGATGTTGCAATAAAAGCTACTTGCAGTGTTATTCTATAGATGCTATTTTTCTCTACATTTGCAGTATTTTGTCCAAATGTCATCTTCATTTTCTTTCTCTCTTGCAGTGCTTTGAGCTCTCAGGGCCACCGTAGCTTCATATTGAAACTGATCACTACTTGAAGTCACAGAGAAGGACTAATGAGAGAGAGTGAAGGTGACCGGCTAGGCCAAGGTCAGAGGACTGATGGAAAATGTTCCATTATTGGCAGATAAGATGGTGGTTCTCTTGGTGATATGTTCACAATAACAGAGCTTCTGACAACAAAAAAGCAGACGTGATACCCAATGAAAAGTGGACTGATGCAGCTCCAAAAGCCCTGGTTCCCAAATTGATTAATTTATATATCCAGGATCAGTTTAAAGTACACTACATTGATATCAGGACAGTGGAGAGTCCGAAAGTCCAAAAGTCCTAAACTTCTCACAGAGATAGAAAGATTCCCAAATGGCCCCTTCCCATAATTCCGTGGATCACTGCACACACCTTCGCATCTCTCGGACTTCCACACGTTTTGTCCCTCACATACTAATGTGAATATTTATTCATATTTGATGCCACTTTAGATAAAAATCAATGAGGTAATCAAGTTGTCGCTATGAAATCTGCTCTCCGCTGGCGCTTTGCATATTCACTGACGCTCTCATCATTAGAAACTCATCCATCGACGCCATCGCCGCGACGCGCCTTTAATTGGTTTGATCAAACATATTGAGCTGCGTCACACACACACACACACACACACACACACACACACACACACACACACACACACACACACACACACACACACACACACACTAACTAACACGTTCAACTGTGAAGTTGTCTAAGTTGTGATAAGTGCTGAATCGGTATAATTTTCACAAAACACTTCAAATGCAAAACTGGTGTGTTTTGTCAGACAGAAAAGTGACAGTGAGATGATGTGTGTTGCATTCTGGGGGAAAAACGGGCCTGCTGGGTTGCTTTTGCAAAGGTCAGCTAAGGTCAACAGACGATCTGGGACGAGACAAAAAATAATCTGGAATTTGGAGGGTCTGTAACATAATTTACTATTCAAACATTTTTCCTTCTTTGAAAGTGCATTCCTGCCTCTTTTTCCTTACCGTTCCAGACTTCTTGACCTATACTAGATTCTTGTACAGTCCTGACAAACAGTGAGGAACTGTTCACATTAGACGAACAAACGGAAACAGCAGATAGCTTCCGCTGGGATGGATTTTTAATACAATGTATTAGCATGGAGCACTTTCCAACTACAATGTACATAATGTGTGAATTCGTCAGTTTGAGTGTCTATGGAGTGTGTGTGTATGTGGGTGTGTGTGTAAGTGCCTTTGAAGGCTCGCTCAGCCTGCTGATGGAAAACCTCTCATGTGTCGAAATGACCGCATCACCTCTCTCTGCCCACACACACACACACACACACACACACACACACACACACACACACACACACACACACACACACACACACACACACACACACACACACACACACACACACACACACACACACACACACACACACACACGCTCACATTCCCTTGCGCCTTACCGCTCCCACAAAGCCACAATGCATCTTGGGAACCATTAAGGAAACCAGAGACCACCGCAGTAGGCAAAGGACACAAACAGAGGGAGAGGAGGAGGGCGAGGGAGATAGAGATGGATGATAGAGAGGGAGAGGGAAACAGAGACTGATCATTTCTCTGTGAGGCTTCAATATGATGGTGATGGACATACTGTTATGTATGGAAACCACTCTGCTG